TACTGCTGATTTGCTGTTTATGTGTTAACTATGGGAACAAGTTAACCCAACAAAAGGAGGTGTTGTAGGGATTCAGACATCTCCTTGCCTGGCCTTTGTGGAACCAAGTCACTTCACTCTTTTGTCAGAGAATTCTCAGGGCAGGCCTGGACACGTTGGAGAAAGTAAGAAGGCAGGAGACAGTTCAAAGTCCCTTAAACCAATCCCGTAGATCCAAACCAGCTTGGCATTTATTGAGGAAAAGACAGTAACTGAATAATTCCTGAGACTGAACTGTGTCAGGGTCAGATCCCGCATAGAAACTATGATCAAGTCATGGACTCCCCTTGATACCTCATGCTGATTTGCAGTGGAAATGTTATTTTAGCCTTGATATTTCAAGAATAAAAGAAAAACAAGGTTTATAGGAAGAAGTCATATCTTTTATTAGATTAGAATATGATACTGTGAAAAAATTACATGAAAGCAAAGAAATCAGACTAAACAACAACTTCCTAAGCTTTGGCAAGTAAGTCAGCATCAGCCCTAGAGGAGTTACAATCTGTTCTTGTGGAACAAGAAAGATTAATGTTATGATAATTACAGTGTCATGCAATTTTTAAGATAAGGAATACCAAATCTGAGGGCTTTCTAAGGGAACTGTGTTGAGTTAAATCTGCTAGAATTAGTCAAATGCAATTTTAATAAGTAATTAACAAGCCTTGTACTATTTTGCGCATGGTAAACATTTCACGTAAATATTTCACAGATACTTATGGGATAGGCTGATGGACACAACAGAAAACAGTGCTAAATCAATTAAATAAACCCTAAAAGAAGGAGCTCTTATTTGAATAAAACCATGTAAACTGGAAATAGCTTTGAAAGCAGCATGCTAGTTAACCTAATGGTGCACACCTGAGGATAGTTACATTCCCCAAAGCCACATGATTTCCTATTCTATATAAACCATAAATGAGCTATAGTAGAGGAAAAGTGAGTGGGCAGTGTTTGGGTGTTGGTCTTTTTGCTCTGGTATAAGTGCTATAGATTCTTGTAGTGTTAGATGTATTTTATTGATAGCTCTTTGAAGCTGTTTATAAAGTATTTCAGGTTTTCAGTAACTCTGGTCTGACATAGGTAAGGTTTGTGTTCTTTATTGTTTTCAAAAGAGCTCTATAGCTGTAAGAACTGCTGGTTGTTATGATATATAATGAGTGCATCTTTTAAACTCTTTTTTTAGTACTCTGTTAATATTTTTAGCGTAAGTACTTTCTAGTAAGACCCTAAATTGGTTTTATTAACCAAAGCTAAATTTGTCAGTTGTTTGGCAATTGGGCTTCCTAGTCTTTGTCTGGCATGGCTTATGCAGGTTATGCCATATATATCTCTGGAAACTGATAGCACCTTAATGTTATTAAATCTCTTTAGTGTCTCATCTCTGCTGATGACTATCCAACAGCTGAAGCACCTTGTATGCTTAAATTTAAAATGAAAGATGAAATTGCTGCCACAGTCTTCTTCATCACAAGGCTAGTGAAAAAGGAAGATAAGCTGAGCAAGCATAAAATGGAGAAATTTGCAGCTAAGCTGACAGCAGTACTCTTTGAAAAGTATAAGAATCACTGGTACTTGGACAATCCATCCAGAGGGCAAGCTTTCAGGTAAGAGGACCCTTAGTAGAAGGGGAGGGGGAATGAAGTCTCTGCATGATGTTCAAGATGTAGTGAGTACCCTTTCAGTGGCTGGAGCCCTTAAATTGGAATCAATGCCATGAAAATGAAAGAGGATCACTTAGCTATCCCTTAAGCTTGAGGAAATGAATCAAACTGGTAAAGATGCAGTTATTTGAAAGTCACTTCAGTGTGTGCCTGTGTAGGTATGACTAGAGAGCTGAGGTAGAAATCTCAAGACAACATACACAAAATGTTTTAAGTAGTCCTCAGACTTCTTGACTTCTCAAATGAGAAATCCATGTTGTCTAAAACTGACTTGTGGAGTTACTGCAACTGCTTTTAATCCTCCAGGAAATTACCCATGAAGTGAGTCGCTGCATTAAGTATTCAAAACAAACTAAACATTGGATGTATCAATCAGTTTATTGCACTGAATTGCTGGTTGGTGCTATAAGTGAGAACTTGTATCAGCAGCCTGACTGTGTTGTGCAGAACTTGCCAAGTTGTGGTCAAACCTTATGCCCCCCTGCATTTTGTTCTTACAAGGTGTATAAGAATAAACAAGCATCAGACAAGAGATCCACTGCTGGAGCAAGCTTGTGTGCAGAGTAATGTGGACTTCAATAAGCTTGGTTTGCCAAAAGAGATGACACTATGGGTTGATCCTTTTGAGGTGTGTTGCAGGTGAGTTAAAAGCTGTGGCTAATGCATGCCAGGTGTCCTGTACGAAACTTCATCAACTCCAAGGTTGTTAGTGCAGTCTGTCTCTGAGGGTATATCTACTTACTGATGTCAGCTGACTGGTAATAGATGTCCCTACTGCTAGTGCAGCTGTGTTATACCAATCCATCACTTTCAGATATGGAGAGAAGAATCAGCCCTTCACAATTGCACACTTTGAGGGAGAGGAGAACCCAGAACTTCCTCAGCAGATCAGCTGTGCTGTTGAGAGAGCAGCACTAGACTATGATTCTAGCATTTCTTCAGATGAGGAGAGCTTCAACAGGGAGCCGAAAGCTATCCCTACTGTCAGCAATCCTAACAGCGTTTACCAGGTAAGCATACAGTAATGGTATGTACTTTTCAAGTAAGAGCTAGCATCTGTCCTCTAGGTTCCCTCATGAAGAAATGCAATAGACTTAACACTTGATGACCAGACTAAACCCCCCTTGCCCTTTTGCAAACACATGTTAACATTATCTCATTTCTTGCTGTTTAGTTCAGTGACTACTACAGGACACCCATACAGCCCTGGTCCCAGTATCTTCATAGGAAGACCTATATGACTGATGGCTCAAACTATATCCAGCACAGGGGTCACAAGTTCTACAGATCAACAACTGCTTTCACAGGACTGTATGTTGATAGATACCACTGGGTCAACCCCAAGCGGTAGATCTGTGGTTGCCCTATTATAGACTGTTGAAACATTGAGCTATGGTGTGTGATGAAGGCTGGCAATACAGAGTTTGATGAAAACAGAAAGCACTTACTGTCTAATCCCTATCTCCTACTTTGTGCATTTGAAACTTTGGGGTTTTATTATAGTGCCTTTTAAATGTTTTATAATGTTAACAAGATTTAAAATTAATATGAGACTCTATTTGTAAGATAAAAAGGAAAAGCATATATCAATAAAGCTGCTCATGTTTTTTATAAAAGCTGTCTGATCTGCTATCAGTGTCCAGAAGGGATCTAAAATGCTTTTTGCTGAAAACAAAAGCAGATTAAGGACGCTAGATGCACCCTCCAAGGTGCTCTGAATGATAGTCTACTTCCTTCTGGAGAAGGTAACAAAATCAGCTAGGTTGTGAGTAAAAGCTCTACGTGTCACAAGCGGGATCGCTTCTCTGCTCCCCTTTCAGTGAAACTTTGGTATATGCAGCTGGGCTTTTGCCTCTAGACTATAGCTTAACTGTCAGAAGAACACGGCCTTATGAGCACTAAAGGGGTGAATACATGATGTTAGAGCTTTCCAAAGCTACACATCGCCTTGTAGAGAGATGGAGCTGTTATCTCTAAGGGTGTTTAGCCTACCACTTTGCAATATTGTGGCACATAGGAAGATGTTCTCATAGTTTGGGACAGCTTGAGTCAAACTATCCTCTACCTAGTCCAATAACTGCAGACATATGGAGCCTGCCCTTTTAAAAGTCTGCTTAGCTTTTGTGTTTTGGTGGTTGTTGTTTTGTTTTGGTTTTTTAATGTGTGGGTATTGCTATCTGGGGTGTTCATTAAACTGAGTAAAGATGTGAGGAGAGATGTCTGGATTACTGTAATAGAACTTGTACTCTAATTCCTTAATCCCTTCACTGTAATTACTAGTGGGTGTTTTTCAAGCAAAATCAAGATAAGCATCTGTATGGAGTGAGGGTGCGAACAGTTGGTACAGTGATTCTGAGAGAATGGAATAGATCAGTATTTGTGAAGTTATAATAATCTGGATGTTTACCCTGTTGAATACATTGATGTATAATGAGATAACAGCATGAATGTTGATGATCTTCAGTGATTCATGAAATTAAATCTTCTCTTGTGCCTCTGTGAATTCTTGTATTTCTAGGGAAGGAAGGATCTTGGGTGACTGCTCTTTTCCCAGCTGCTTTTTACCTAAACCACGGGCTGCTGTGGGCAAAGAGCTGATGTTTCATTTATCAGCAAATACTGAATGTTCCATGTGTTTCAGGGTTTGGGTTTTGAATGTGGGAGGAGGAAAGACTTTCTCCAAGTTTAAGAGCCAGGCTAGTCTTTGCTGGTGCAGGACTTTCATTCCAGTATAGGTGGTACTATAGAGCAACTGAAATATGGTGATTTCAGAGCAAGTAAAGGTTGCCTGGGCCAGGAAAGTTGCTTTTAGTTGTGGTGACCATATCTCTTGCTGTGTAACTGTGTAGATATAGTTACTTGAGTTGTAAGTGTGAGGCGTCCCTGCCCATGGCAGGGGGATTGGAACTAAATGATCTTAAGGTCCTTTCCAACCCAAACCATTCTATGATTACAGCTTTCACTGTCTCATTAAGTCAGAAGAAAAGTGCAACTGTCAGCTGATGTCTGCAGAGACTTCAGAACATGTAGTGAAGTGATACATTAGTTGAGAATTATTTTTTTTTAATATTAAGTAGTCTTATGAGCGATTGTGTATTTTTCTTCTATTTCTGGTTAAATAGCATTCCAATAGCATTTGACTCTACCACTTGGATATACCCAGAAATATCACTTAATCTAAAGGCTTGTCACATGAATGGTTGCATTGCTTTCACTTCTCATTTAATGAGCCTTTAGTATGAAGGAGGAAAATACACTACAGGTGAAACAAAACCACAAGTGTTTTTATTTTCCCTTAAAGCCCGAGGACAGATTCAGAGGACCGAGTTAGAACCAAACCACTGAGTGTTCTCTTGTGTACCACTACAACTTTCTGCCTAGGTCTAATTTCTCTTCTAATGCATTTATTTGTTTTACCAAACAGTCTTTCTCCAAACCAGTTATTTCAAGGTAGTAAAGAAGCAAGTCTTCATTGCCTTTACTCTTTAAAAACTGGTGTTCATCCTCTATGATACGCACCAGCTCCTCAGTTAACACATCCACTTTATCCTCAAGTTCTGATGTGGACAAGTAAGTATGTGTTTCCTCTTCAAAGCTAAAAAAAGAAAGTATATATAAATATATATGGAAGGGAATGCTAAAAATCATGCAGTAGAAATGCCATTGTTTAAAATGGCATCTCTAGACTCTTCACAAGAGCCAACCAGAAAGACAGATTTCCCTGGAAAGTTTTCTGTTACAGTGAAAGTGATGGTAGCTTAGGGAGAAGTAATCGCTCTTTCTGTGACACAGGCTGGCATCAAATCTAAGCTCTCCTTTATAGTAGAAAGTGAGGTAATGATGAAGAGGTGCCATGATTTGTTTTGTATCAACCCCTCCAGATGGTTCAGCTGTTGCTGTCTTTCTACAACTGTTACTAATACTTCTTATCAAATCACTCTTACCGTGTCCTCCATCCAGACCTGCCCTTTTCATGGCTGCTTGAGGTATGAAGGAAATGCTCTTTTTTCTTCACAAGCAACTTGTCATTTACTGGTTCCTCAAATTCTCTCTGGAGTGAGATGTTGTTCTTTGTGTTATGCAATAAGCACAGAAGTAAAGAAAGCAGATCAGTGTTACTTTTACAAGCCTTTATTTGATTTCTTAGGGAAGGTGAACTTTCAACAAGACCAGGTCTCATGATATTTCTTATTACCTGCTCAAAGGCTTCCATGTCTGTGAGGCTTTTCACTTTGACCTCAAAGAGTTGGGAGATGAGTCTTACTTCCTCCTTGGAGAATGGTTCTTTCTTTAGCAACAGCTCATTTATTCCATAACATTTATCACCCTGGCGAGCTGCTGACAGCTGGAGCCTCAGAGAGAATGTTTCAGTAAGACAAGCCTTTAGTGCCTAGAAAATAAAAACAACTAAAGCCAACTACCAACAAAAGCCCCTAACCTGTATTCAGGCAGGATGTTAATACATGATATGGTGGATTTTTCTACTGAATTGCTGCCTACACCTACAGGGAAGAAGTGTTCTTTAGCTACTGAACATGATTCTTTCTGGTGTACAGCCACTGTGTAACAATAATAGCAGTTCAGGTAACACTTAGCTATTTTTATTGTATCTCTCCTTTTAATTTTTATTATTAGAAGCTCTACAAAGATGTTAAACCCTCCCTTTTAAAATGGCATTTTTTTTTTTTTTTTTTTTACAAACACTGCTATAATGTAATTACTTTTGGAATGTGTTGACGTACCTGATGAAAAAGCCTCAGAAAGAGTGGGTTGGTGTCATGGTTGAAGTCAGCAGCAGTGATATGAGCTAAGCAGTGCACAAGGAGGAGAAGGAAACTTCCTACAGAACTCAGGCAATCCTTTAAAATGAACAGCTTGTGCTTTGAATGCTGAGAAATAACAAATATCCAGAGCTGAGATGAGCACAGCCGTAGTCAGCTCAGCTGATGAAAGTCTTCAAATGGTTTGTCTCAATTTTAGTGAAGTTAAAAGATTCAGATTAGAGTCCTGGGGATAGCCATGTAGACACGAGAGCACCATTGTCATAAAGCACCATTTAATACTCCACAATGCAAATCTAAAGCATTCTTGCATTCTGTATCTAGACAGTTTTATATTTGCATATTCTGAACTTCTCTCTCACCATCCCAGAGTAATAGAAATAAATAACACTAGACAGATTCTATAATTTAATTACAGCAAGTAAAGTGCCAATACAGTGTTGATCTCTATAAAGCTGACTGTAGAGAATTTGGGAGAAATGGAAGTGGTAGAATTTGGACATGAGAAACAGGGTAAGCATTGCTGATTTAATAAATGTGCTTTGGGTATGACCTTCCTACTAACCATCTATTCAAACCCAGTATCCTGGAGTGCTCTGTTTAGTTTGTGTTCAGATATATCTGGAGTATACCATTAACATGTGAGAATTTCTTAGATCAATATTTTTTTCCTAGAAAGCATCAAGCATATTACAAATTGAAAAGTATGAAACATTTTTGCATTTTATTTCTTATTCCTGTAACTTAATGGATATGATAATGAGAGAAATGGCTAGATGTGAAGTTGACAAACCTGATAAAAGAACGAGTTTCTGAAGGCATTGCCGGTGACATTACTAAGAGGTATGCTGGAGGCAAGACACAGGTTAATTTCTGGAGCCTGAAAAGAGAGGGAAAAATGCTTCTGTAAAAAGTGTGTATGTACATCAAATCTGCGAAGTAAGATGGGATTAATGGGATAAAAGTTCATTTAAATGTCAGCTTTGATTTGCGGCAGGTTCACAGAGCCAACAGCTAGCCCTGAAAATGGAGACTGTTTAAAAAAATCAGCTAATCATAGCAGTTCATCTTGCCAGTTTTCTATTTAAGTAAATGAAAGTCTACTCTAGCCCTGGAGCTTTTGCTGTAGTCACCATGATTTTTATTACTTTTTGATACTCTTATGAAAGACCCTGGAGAGTTTACCTAGGCGAAAGCCATAGTGTGCAAACTGTATGGAAAAATGAAAGAATCTTTGTTCCAAGTTGTAAAAGAAAACATGTTATCACAGTATTATGCAGTATGCAGGGATTTGGTAATGCAAGAATTAAGCATGTGATCAAGAAAAATACCACAATAAATATAAGAACTGATCATGGATTGTGTGGGAGAAAGGGTTGACTTCACAACAGTCCTACACCATTGTGGAGAAAACAAATGAAAGTCAATCCCCGATGCTTGCATGCTTGTCCTTTCCTATTTCCTCTTACCTTATAAGATCCTTTGAAGCCTGTTGGCTGAAGAATTTTTATTATAACCATCATGTGGAAGCATGATAGTTTAATATATATAGGTGAGGATATTAAAAACTTACATCAATGTGCAATCTGAGAAACCGTAGGATGGAGATGCCGTATTGATAGATGACAAACTCTCTTGGAGAAAGGGTTGCAGGATCAACTACTGTTAGTTCTTCTTGAGTCGTTAATGCATCCTGTATACCTTGATAAGTACTTGCTTTTTCTGCAAGAACAGTAGCATTTCATTAATTGGTTTTATATTTTTGTTTCCTTTGTCCGAGAGGTAACACTGCAATACAAGTGTACTGCATTTCTCATCTCGATATGAAGATAAACCCCAAAATTTCACTTTTCCTAGGCCTAGAATGGTGACATTAAGCACATGAGTATGTGTCAGAGCTGATCAGCAGCAAAGTCAAGGTTATTGTGTTCTGACTTATTCAATGGTAGAACACTTTTTCAAAAGAGAGCAACTTTATGATGTTTGTTCAGCAAAGTCTCACCATAATAAACACAATCAACAGCTACTTGAATGATGAAACTGAAATCTTCACATTACACTTAAGTTCTTACTTTCTGGTATAAAAGAACAGAGCTGAAATTTACTTTTGTCCAGCCTTTGGCTTTCTAACAGCCCAGCTGCCACTGCATGACTTTGGAGCTCATCGTTCACATCTTTCAGAAGACCAAGAAGAAAAGAGGATTTTATACACTTTGTTTTATCAGCACCTGTGTAAACAAAAATGGAAATACTGCTTTCCTAAGCAATCCATCTCTTAGTGTATTTTTTCTTTAGAGAATGTTTCACACACTGAAATTACATAGACAAGTAAGGCAAAACAGGCAGTTTTGCTGCTTAGAACATGACATTGAACTCTAGGCAAAGATGTTAATGTTGCAGAGAAAATATCTTTCTAATCAAAACTCTTTACATTATCCAATGCACTAGTTTTATCTTTTTTTCATGTATCTCAAACATTAGATGGAAGTCTGCTTAAAAAGGAAGAATGATATGTTGAATTAAAAGAAAAACACCCAAACAAAACAAAACCCTAGCTCTAACCACTGACAGAATACCCCCCCAATAGTTACTAAATATGTTCTTTGTCACCAATGCAAATGAGCAAAAAAATTCTATCTGCCTTAAACTCTATCAATAGTGACTTTCTATCAAAGTGTCAAATTCTGCATCTCATCAGAATTGATAGGATTTTTTTCCCCCTAGCTAATAAATACAACATTTGCCTAAATTCTCTAAACCCAGTATTTGGTTTATTATAAGGGCTCCATCATTGCTAATTCAGTTACAGGCTTATGCAGATACCAGATGTGGCTCACATATTGTTAAGCAACTAAAAAGGAGGTAGTTGGCATGAAAAGGAGCCTCTTGTGAGTTCGTTTTGTGCAGCTCTATGTGTGGGGTAGTAGCAAATAAAGCATCTTAAGGTTTTTACCATACAGAGAAGGTGGTGTGAGCTGTGGATTCAGAAGAATGATCCTGGATGCCATCAGGTGTTCTGCCTGCTTCAGCACCTTGATATCTGTGAGAACAGTATTTACTAGTTCATTACTGCAAACAATTCCAGGTAGGTTTCTGTCTGTTCCTGTCATTGTTCCATAAGCTAACCTCAACTTTTCTATGTAGTATTTGGGCCTAAGGGATCAGTTTATAAATCAGATGTTAGGAATGAAAGTTGTACTTTTTGACCAAATGTCTAATTTTTGAAAGAGGTTTAAAACCAGAAATATGTTGGAATCTCTTCAAGGGGCTAGATAAGGAAATCTTTCCCTGTCATTCTGATAATTTTGTTACTCTTTGAACTGTTTGCTTTTCAGGAAGTTCTGGGAGTTGCTTACAGGGTGATAAGGGAGCAACAAGGCCAACTGGACTGCTTGATGCACTTAGTGTACGCTTTCCTTAATTTTAGTTTTGCTGCATGAGGAAATTATTTTTCATCAGTTTCAAATTTTTTTTTTGGCCATATTTCTGTGTTTAACGGAATTCCAGGACTGTGCTATCCCACTTTATCAAGCTAATGAGTAAATGAATGCCTGTTTACTTCATAGCAAAATTGTTGGAAAAGACTCTGAAGTATTAAGCAGTTGATCACATGTGATAGTGCAACTGATCCCTGTGGAACCTTTTCAATTCAAAGAAGAGGAAGTTCTCCTGCTTACCAAGTAGCTGCTGATGTTTCAAGAAAAGCATTACAGAACTGCTAACCCTAAGGCTGGAATAAGCTCAGCTCTGCAGATGCATAAACATCGTCTAGGTAAGGGATTTAATTTTATTCACGTCCTAGAAAAAGCAAGCACCTATATAAGTATCCAGCTTTACATTTGAATTTTGATAATACACTTTACTTGAAAGGGTGAAACCCTGATATCATCTGAGCTGAAAATTCTATGCCAAACCTGACTTACTCTTAGTCAAGAACAATAGGAGCTGGTCATCTGCCTTGTGATGTATCCCTGGGACCGAGTAAGAGTTGGTGATGGATGAGAGAGGGCTGTTGCTTTGCTGAGTCTCTTTTTCTTTTTTTGCCTCTTTTGGTTTCATTCTCAACCTCTGTAAATCTGGGTGAAAATCCTTTCCAAAGAAAGCTTTCATTTCAGTGCATTCTTTCATCAGGTTCTACAGTGAAAGGAAAGGAGATACAAAAGTAAGTACTTATAAAAAGCACAATGGAAATTTCATATTTGGTTCTATGAGAGCTTTTCTTTACTTCTCCCCTTGCATAAACCTGGGGTCTGTATTTTAGAAACTTCTACTCCTTTGCATTATTCAATTGCCTGAAAACAATATTAAGCAGCAAATACAGAGACCTCCAGCAGACTGTCATCTTACAGAGTGAAAGGTTTCTGGCAGTACATACTTTGTGTAGGGCAGACCCTAGCTGCTAAGTGTGCTTTCTACAGTTAAATTTCTCAAACTCTATAATGATTAGCACTCTGTATGAGATATGCCATTGCTGGAGTACCAGTCTTTGTAATCCTTCAGTAAAAAAAGAGGGAAGCTGTGTGAAGGGAGGTAGTCACATTGTACCCTATCGTGCTACTCAGCATATGCTGTGGAACCAAACTGTGTGGGCTTCAAGGTGACATTTTTGTTCTGAAATGAAGAAAACTCTCTTAAGATCTATTTGTTCCCTTGTACTTTCACTTGGGGGACAGCCTACTTTTGAAAGCTGTGCTTCTCCTATCCCTTTCCAGCTACTTCCTAATCTCTACATTTAACCATTTTCATGTATGTGTCATGACTTCAGGACATAATCCACACAATGTAGCTGCAATCGTGTCTCACTACCATTATGCTGTTAAGCTAATGTGCATCTGACACAGCCTGTTAGATTAGAGAAAATTTGGGATTTGCTGTTTTCTAACCTGCAATGGATCAAAATGACTTGAAATAGTCATCTTTGTTCTTTTACTTCCCAGGAAGAGTTTCAGCTGTTCCTCCAGCCTTCTCATTTTCTGCTGTCTGAATTCTTTCAGTTCATTGGCTATGATGTTAGCTTCATTCAGAAACTACAAGTCACAAAACAAACCATAAGATCTTGGAAAGAGTGATACTTGGAGAACAAAGTCTTTTGTGCAGTAACAGGAGCAATGCAAATTATTTGGCATTTTCTGAATAAAATTCCTAGGTAATATATCTTTAGTTTTACCTTGTCCTGCATGCAGCCTTTTAGATTTCTGACTATTTCCTTAAACTGTGTCTCTCTCAGTTGTAACAACCTTACAGTTTGTATAAATTCCAGCACTAAAAATATATACTCTGTGTTGTCCTTCAGGAGATATGAAATGTCCCTGGTGTCATCACTAATCGATAACTCCTGAAAGATAAAATGGTCGTGTGAAACAGAACATGAAATTTGTGGACCTTCTTTGGTTATCTTACTTTCTCTGCAGTACAGTGAGAGCAGATTTAAGTCAGAGTTTTTGCAAATGCCATAAAGGAAGCCAGGTAACTGTATTTTACAGTCTTGTGCACCGTTTATAAAAAAATAAGGTTCTCAAAGGAGTTCTAAGTAAATCTATGTTAAAACGTGGATCTGAAGTATCTGATCTTTAGTAGCTATGTCCAAGGCTTTTCCAGTTCTTTTTGGCATAAGAAGTATAATATACTGCAATCTGGAGTTAGCTGTCCCTTCTCTATAAATAGACACAATTCCTGAGAAGTTTGTAAACTTCAAAGGGTAGTGACAACACACTGGAGGAATTCCAGATTCTAAACCAAACTATCAAGAGAATTTTACTTCTACAACAAGCTGTTCCAGGCCTGTGCCCTCCTTTTGGGACCTCAAGGCAATTTTCTTGAGCTTGTAACAATCTTGTAGCAGAACGACTGTTTGCCGCAGGTGTCTCTGAGATAGGATGAAGTATGCCATGAGATTGCCTAACTTCTCTCCTTCTGTCTCCTGGATCACTTGCATTTCTTTGGCTTGCATCTGGAAAGAAAACATTACAAAGTCTTACAGATTACTTGAAGACTTGTGTCTAAGTGTGGAAATGTTCCAGTTCTCACTGCAGGTGTGAAAATAGGAATCCAGAGGGGGAAAAAAAAAATGAAATGCCCTGAAGAATAATGAAATCTATCAACTTAAAATGGGACTTCAAAAAGTTTCCTTTGATGGCATGAGTCAAATAGTTGCGAACCACATAAAACATTGCTGAACCTAAAATAACATGCCCAGAGATTTTACTAAAGTCTCATCCCTCTGTATAGCTGTTGGCAAATGACAATACAATGCTTTAGCTGATGTACCTTTTCTTCTGTTTGTGCTTGAAGTTCCAGTCTGAATTGTGCCTGCATGTTTCTCAGTTCAGCTTCTGACTCTTCCTTTAAACCTTTAAGCAAATCCCCTTCCTGATGATGCCTCTGGAGAAAAGCCACTGCTCTCGCTACTTGCTGTTTCTCTATACTATGAGCAACCTCTCGGGCTGCTTCTTCACCATTATTTTTGTAGCCAAAACTGTTCAGGATCCTCAACACACCTTCTGGACAAGTCAGAATCTGGAGCAGGTAAGCACAGTTATAGGAGCAAATAAGTTGTGTTTTATAGACATGAGCTTGTTTCCAGCATTAGGTTTGTAGTAATTGGCAGGGCTTTTGACAGCAGGGTTTTGCCATGTGCCTGCACATATGCTCCAGCCTGTGTGCCCTGCACATCCTGTAGGCTGTCAGGCAGGATGGACATCTGGGCACTCACAGGCTGTGTGAATTACCTTTGAGAGGCTCATGCAGGGAGGGGTGAAACATGAAAATCATGAAATGCCTCTACCTGAAGGCTGCTGTAGACATCCAGGACTCTGTACAGACATGTTTGCCTCAGAGCTTCCAGCTTTACTATCTTTGCTGCTGAAACTTGTAGTATTTGAGTTAGAGAGTCTGGTGAATGCTTGACTTCCCAGGAATGTAGTTTCTATCAAGCAAAAGAGAATAAAGGGCAAGGATTTTCTACACGAAGTAGCACTGTGGTCACCAGGATTAGTGAAATCCAGTTTCCTACAGAATTGTGATGGGAAGCGTGAGTCAGTTTGGACTAGTCTTTTCTCTAAGGGGCTCCAGTGGAAACTTTTCCTACTTATAAAGGCATGGAGTCACTGCAGGTTTTCCTCATAGGGGTTTTTAAAGTCTGCTTGTCTCCTCTACCTGCCTGTTTATTTGCATCAAATTTGTAAGTGCTTTAGTTTCCAAGTCCTCTATTCCCCTGCAAAGTTAAGTGAAATCAGGAAATGGATTAAAAAGTTTGGCATTAGCTTAATAAGAGATAAGCAGACATCTGCTCCCAGAACAGATTTATAAACTGTAGAATTACTCTCTGCATTAGTAAAAGCTGCTTGTATAAATAAGGTTGTCTCAAAGGTGGAATTTACCCACCTGGAGCATTTAAGTTATGCCTGTAGCTGCTCTGATAGTACAGCCACTCATGTAATGCCTAAACTTAGTATGTGTGTTTGTATCACCCAGTGAAGATTACATTCATTCTTGCAAAGCAGTGAGGTGATAATAGCAGGACTAGCATAAAGAAAAATAAGCAAATGCTTTAAACTCACTTGATGCTCAGTGAAGTTAGAATCTGGGATTTGTAAACCAAGAAGACAAAATGAGAACTGATGCGGAATTTCTTCCAGGAAATGCAGGGTCTGTTTGGGCAATACTAAGTTTGGGCTGAGACCTGAATGCTTGATTTCTTCCAGTTGTTTCTGACGGAGGCTTTGTTCAGTGTGGTGGTGGTGTTCTGACAGTTCTTTCAGAAGCGAGTCCTTTGTGCTGGTTGCTTCTGTTCCTTTACTGGTCCTCATCCCCTGAAATTATAGACATAGCACCTGAAACATCTTCATGATCAGGAGCAGCAAAGAAATGAGAATTGACTCATATTGAACCTGAGAGCTAAAAATCGTAGCAAAAAATAAGACATCAGTGTTTGTTTAAGTAACCTAAGTAGCCTGATTTACTGTGGAATTAAGCACCCAAGTGTTATTGAAAATAAGGCCACTGTTTCTTTTGCCTTCACATTGAGAAAAAACCCTAGTTCAGTTTCTGTTTTGCCTTGCAGCGGTCATAACAGAAGATTTCTTTCTTCTTTAATAAATCCCCTTTTGCATCAATTTCCTTTTTGAAAGTCATGTGGGAAAATTGAAAGGAATTCAAAAAGGTAATGGAAAACTTTATTTTCCTGTGTATCAGCTGAGAACTCTAACACAATGCCAACCTTACCCAACTTCCTGTATGGTATTCCTTTTCCTCAGCCTTGGATAATTCATAAAAGGCAAAGATAGTGTTTATTTCTTCTGTCAGTAAGGACAGTTCCATATGTGCCAGTTCACAAGCATGCTTCTCAAAGAAAAACCTACAACCAGATATGCATGAGACAGGACTGAAGAGACATCACTAATTTTAAACAGTCATTACTATGAGGCACCTCTAAAATTCATATGTACATTGCCTGGAGAACAAGCAGTAGACTGTAATAGGTATCTTCTGTTGAGCCACATGCAAAATCCAAATATAAGCCTGCTAGGGATGAAAGCTTTTACACTTGCAAAGAATATATATATATTTTGTAACTGAAAGTGCAGAAGCAGTTAAACAAGGATTTCTTACCTTGTCTGGATTTCTTGTACGTGACTGGTCCTTTCTGAAAGTGAAGTGGGCAGAGCAGGTGAGGCTATGGAAACTGAAGCAGTTTCCTGACTTGTTTCAGCCCTTAATGCCTCTGAATGAGCACCAGATGCTTTTAAAGTGGTTGATGAGTAGCCTGTAGAAAACAACAGAATATATTTACTGCTGAGTCATTATTTGGGTACAGTCAAACCCTATTACACACTTAGGATTTTTTTTTTCCCTTAAGTGTACAGTATTCAATAGTTAAAGTAGCAGTGCTCTTGGGCTAGAAGGAAAAGCAGTTGAACAGCTTGTATTCTTCATTTCTATTTGCTCCTATACGGCAGGCAGACTTGTACAATGTAATATCCAATTTTAATATTCTCAGCAGGGGAAGTAAAAGCTTTGCTATTCATTGTTAGGTTTGTACTGCATTTTCTCTTGTCAAACTGAGGTTAGATTTTCCGTTCTGCAGGAGCTGCAGAACTAAAAACATAGAGATAGTTCAGGTGTATAAAAATAATGTTTTTTTTTTTTTTTTTTTAAATTTCCAAAGATTAAAGCAGCTTACCTGATGTCTCAGGTGATATACTGCTTTTGCTGTTTTCCTCCAGCATCCGAACAGTAGACTTGAGTAGCGGGATCAGGTTTTGTTGGATGACCTCATGTGTATTGTGTGAGATCCCACAAATGCCATAAAATCTGGTTGTCTGATAGTTTTCAAAACACTGTTGCGACCCAGAGAAAAGCACCTGAAACAGCATAAAGCAGACAAACCCCATTTCATGCCTGTCAAAGGTATAATTTAAAAAAGCATCCTGGCATTCTTTCTGTTCTTACGAAAACCTTATATTTTCAATTCATAGCCAGGCCTATGCGAATTGTGCAGTGACTCAAGAAGATGCTACAGCACTTTGCCTCAGAAGATTAAAAGCCTTTTGCAACGGTTATGGTCCCGTAGCTCCCAGCTCCCAGATTTTTCCATGTCCTTCAAGCTGTGCTTCTTCCCTAGGAAGTACAGAACTTCAGGTATCCAGCTGTTTAAAATCTCTCAGCAAATAGTGAAACTGACAACTTGGCAGTTGGACTAGATGATCGTTGTAGGTCCCTTCCAAGTGAATTGTGCTATGTTATTCTATTCTAACTTTTTTCCTAACTCTGCTGTTGAAAATCTGCCTTTTGAAGTGAAATTTCATTGAATTTCCAAGCATCAAATTCTTTGATATTTACTTTCTAAATCCCATTTTGGAACTCTCATTTAAGTTTTTTGTTATTTTACAGGGTTCTGATTTCTTGCAGCAGTGTTCTTGGATGGATATTCACAGAACATGGCAACTGCTCATGCTTTTGTTAGAAAGTAAGTAACATGATTGTTTTTTATTTGCCTCAAGGTGAAATCAGTACCTTTGTCTGCTGCATTTGGATATTTGACAAGTCCCTCAAGTATTCCAGTTTGGTGTATGCAATCTCCACACTAGCTTGTTGTTTCAGTATATGTTGCTGAGATTCAGAGGCTAGAGCAAGTATGGCCTGGAAGAAACGACACAAAATATAAGCCTGCTTCAAGTGAATTGCAAATTCTGGCTTTCATTTTCTTTCTTACAATATGGCAAATCTCTAGCTACAAAGCTGGTGTATCTGTAACAACTCTAGAGCGCTGGTCTGGATAGCCCTTAAAGATTTTATATGGTAGGTTGCATTTATTCTCTGTCAGTGACTGCTCGGCTCCTAACAGTGCCTCTCAAAGGTAGAGCAGAGTTCTGTGGGTTGAGACTGAGGATCTTCAGCCCAACCCAGCAGTGACCTCACCTTTCTGAGCTTCAGGTTTGTTACTGTCTCAGTACTTGAGATGTGGATCCTTTGCTTTTCTCTCTCTATCAGCTGCATGTATATTCGTTCTTCTTCTAGTTGCATCTTTTCAGCAAACTCCATCAGCTTTTCCAGTGCTTTTCTGATCTCCAGCAGAACCTGTATTTCCTGTTCTTTTTCATCTCTGTCAGCTATAAACAACAAATATTAGCAGTAGCACCCATCTGATGATCTGGAAATTCACAGAGCAAATCCAAATATGCCTTCTCAATGTGCTTCACTGCACCTACATTCTTTATCTTTTAGAAAATCACAATTTTCAGATACTGCCTCTGTGTTGTCTTCCTTCAGGAGGACAGAAGTAGTTTGTAAGGCTTAAGCTAACCTGTTGGAAGGAGCAAACATCACAGAAAACTATGTACAACCCTGTCTCTCTCTCCTCTGGTTGCAGTTACCCCTTTGTACCTTTGAATAGCAAGGATAGTTCAGTAGCCAGCTGGCTACTAAAGTATTTTGAAGTTCGTCTCTCAACTTCCTGCAGAGAGGACTCTTTGAGAAAATGGCATATTTCCTCAATGCCTTTCACTTTTTCCTTGTATTTCACCTGCAAGAAACGGAAGAGGAGTGGGAATTTTAGATAATGTTGCAAACTGCTGTGATACTCTTTCCTCTGACAGATGAGAGCAAAGGGTTGTTGAATTTGGCTATTGCTTTTTCCTAGCCTTTTAATTATCCTGATTGTGTAGAGACTGACTTCATAGCCCCTTGTTTCTGATATAAACCACTATGAACTGTGTTGTCTTTGTGTAGCTGGAAATGGTTGCACTGAAGTAGCGACACCTCTGTTTACAGTTTTGGTTTGCATCATACTGGAGGGCAGAGTGACTGGAATTCAGAGCACCACCACCTTGGGTACAGCATCAATGATATTTGATTTGATATGTGCGAAGAAGACTGCCGTAACAAAGTTTTAAAGACCTTTCCTGAAGCCATCTGCAAAATAAATGCACCATACCTTCTGTGCTTTTCCCTCTTTTGCAGCATCAAGGACATGAAAAAACAGTGAGTTAAGCCTCTTAAGAAGCCCTTCTTCCTTTTTTCTCCTGCAATGCCAGTATATATGCCTTGAGTTTATTTCCTTTTCTAGAAAGTCCAGCTGTAAAGCAGAGACAGACAAAACAGTTCAGATTTGCAGGAAGGTGATAGATTATAAACTTCATTAAAGCTAGTGATGTAACCTGCATTCAATGCTTTTGGCAGCATATATGCAACTTTGTTGCCCCAGAGGATGAATGCTTTGCAGTGCTAAGTCTCTGTATGTTATTTTGGGGTAGGGTAAGGATATGAACTAGAGAGTACAAGAATCAGCAGAAGAAGATACAGGTAGGGCAAGAAAAAGTTGATAATGAAAAGAAGAGATGTAAGTAAAATGGTATACATGTATTTCTGTTCATCTTGCACTGTAAGAAAATACTACTTATGGGGCATAGGAAGAACTAAAATTTCCTCTGTAGTGGAAAAGCATCAGCAAGGAATTTCCCACAGATCTCAAACCTGTAAATAAAGATAGTTTGCTAGAGCTATAATTACCAGATCTGGATCTGCAGCTCTTCTTGGTAAAGCTCCAAGAGACTGAACAGTAGGAATTATATTGTGTGTCCAGGGGTTGGTTTGGGCACCTATAACAGGCCCAGTTTCACCTGTAACTGGACTTATGGTTCTGGCACCAATAGTGATAGGGACAAGGCCTGTGAATAAAGAAAGACTAAGTATAATACTTCGAATTTAGATCATGAATTCTAGCTGCAGCCCTAGCTGGCAGCTTTTAAGTTCAAAAGGAACTGAGAATGATTTCAAATCACCCAATGAAAAACAAACTGAATTTTCCTGAGCTGAAAATGCTATGTACCAGGTGTTGGACCACTGCACTGCAGACCTTCATCTTCAGATAGCGTCAGTTTACTGCCCTGTCACTGAGAATAACATCAGAATAGTTCTCCTAAAGAGTACAGTAGATTTTTGAAGGTATGAAAGCCACCATGTGATTTGGTCTCAGTCCTAGCTCTCCTTCGCTGTTACTCTGGTGTTGCTTGTTCTGAATATATACACCATGAAAATTGGTATTTTCCATTTAGTATTGAAGTAGAAACTCATCTATTTTGGTAGGGTGTTTTCCTCACCCTGAAAACAATGTGTCCTTGTCTCTCTATTGTTTACATCATTCAAATCAATTTCATACTCTACCTTTTCCATTTCTATCTTCCATGGTTCCTGCAAGTGGAAAAGGCTGCCTAGTATTCCAGTCACAGTCTATTCCCAGAATTGGCACCATCAAACCAGACCCACCAGGATCTGGGATTTTCATTCCAAACACTGCAGGGATCCACATCTCTGTGCTAGGATATTTGATCATACCTAGTTTGTTAAAAAAAAAGATGAGAAACATAAACCATTAAATAGTCTTGTGATAAAAAGAACTGTTTTCAGAGGCTTACAGTGCTGATATCTTGGACAAATCCTGTGATGTAAATGGGTGCATTGCTGTAGCCTTCAGTGTAATGACACCTGTTTACTCCTTAAAACAGGCTGGCTGTTTTATACGTACCCAGTTTACCACCATTACTCTTGAGACTTGAAGCTATTTGCAGTTTTTTCTCCAGGCTTCGCAAGCTATGTATTGCATGATAAAACTTAGTAGTGAAAGACTTCTTCATATCTTCTACTGAAGCCTTTAGTGCTGCTAATCTGTCTGCTACCAGACAGGTATCTTCCACAACTGATGCCTTAAACTGTTCTATAGCATTCACCACATGACTTTGTGATACCAGCCAGTCAGCTTCCAGCACTGCTTGGTAACTTCCACTGTGGGGCCGCACCTCATCTTGCCGAAGGTGAGCTCCGTGTACCCGGGTGGTTTTCCCACTCAGAGGTTCGGTGAAGGCATCTCCAAGCAGCATTATGTTTCCAGAAGGACCCACCAGCCCACCTAGAGGTATAACTTCTCCTGCAGTCAAGAACAGGGAATGAGAGTCAGAATATCACCTGGCAACTTGTCATTATGGTCTGGTCCTTCCCGTTCGTAAAAAGGCACAATGATAATTCACTTCAATTGAAGTTAAAATAGGCCTTATGAGCAGTGCATACCTCACTCAGTGACTTGTGAAGGGCATTCACCTACCAGTGTTACTATCCAAACCGACTCCGAGTATTGGAACAATCTTGCCTCCCTTTGGCTCAGCCATCGGCCCCCCGATCTCCAGAGGTGTCAACATGCCAGTGAGGGGGTTAAGGTACGTCCCACCAACAGCCAGCTTTTGCCCAGTGTGAGGATGAATCGTAACTCCAAGCACTGGAACTTCTATTTCCGTCACTGGATCTAACATCAGTCCTCCCATAGCAAACAGATTTTCAGAACACAGGACTGGAAGTTTTGTCTTCACAGGTAGGCCAGTGTTGGGACAAACCGGGTAAGGAATGTAAGGGAATATGGGCACTTCAGCCTTCTGACGCTTACCTGTGTGTAGAACCAGAAGAAATTTAACATGGTTATGCAAAGTAATGCTAATGACAAGGAAGCTCTAGAGCTCAGAATGGAGACTATGGAGCTTTCAGAGGATGCTGATAGTAAAGGTCTGTTGTCTTTAGGTCCAGAATGAAATGAATGAATTTCTAACAATTGAATGTTTTTTTTTTAATATAATTTTTAATTTGGCTACTCCTTTAAAGTTGCAAGTTTCTCAGCTTATAATGGTTTCTACAATTTAATGAAGAGAGGGGCTAAAAAGTGTCAGAAACAAGGAATGCCTATCATTTCCTTTTATACAAACCATCTAATATGTCTTATCCACAGTAAGTGGATAAGTACTAGATGAACAATACTTCTAATGCCATGCTAATTAGAAGCTTTTGCAGATTTTCTTTAGGTTTTGTTATGGGAAAAGTATATGCAAGTATAGCACATTGTGGTTTTCTGTTTGTTAGCTGTTTGGTTTTTGTTTCATTTTAACCAGTGCTCCACTAAAACTCCACGAACAGGCAGTTTGAATAATTATTATTGCTTTGTGGCACTTACCTGAAGCAGAATCAACAACACAGACCAGCCTGGATATGATGGGATCATAACCAATGTTGCCAGCTACATAAAGTACCTTTCCAGTCTCAGGATGCAGAAAACAATCACTAGGTACTGGCCCAGGGCACTGCCCAGTCAGCAGCATGGTGCAGTGTGGGTAGGGATTTAACAGTCCAGTGATGGGATCCATGCAAACAACATCAGGTGCTCCAGCAGTGCCATTTGAGCCTAAAAGCAGTTTACAATAGAAGAGCAGGGTGGCAGATGTGTGAATAAAGAAACTGATCTTTCTACTGCCTTTTACAGAAGATTCTACATGCAATAATACTAGAAAGCAGACAAACACATTGGATTACTCTGATGCTGATTGAACTTATTGAGACTTGTCTACAGAATAGTTCATTTCCCTCTCTGTTGCCAAGAGATAATTAGCAAGCACCCAGCAAAGATTTTGATAAATGCACATCTGACATTCTTCCTAAGAAACAATGTGGAAGAGTTCTGCTAATGAGCTTGGTTTTGTAACAACCCCTTAATGCACAAGTCGTTACTGGATGAGGACTTGGTTTTCTGAATACAATCTCTTTTGACTTTGCTATTAGTTTTTTGAGATCTAGCTATTTTTCATGACCTGTATTTTGTCACCTGTGCTACACCACCCCACCTACAATTCCTTACACATTCACATCATTTTCAAACAAATTTCTTGAGGTTGTAGTTACCCACTAGCTCCTGCTTGGTAAGTATCCTGGTTTTAGATTTGTTAAGAAGGTGGGCTCCCATTCCATCACCCAGCACGCCCCATGCTTTGAGGCGGTGACTCTCTTTTGTTATTATGCTTGACATCTTGCTGCTTGCAACCTCTATCTGGGTTAATAGGCTGAAATTCAAGATATAAAGATGGTTACTTTGCCATTTGAAGATAAGGTAAAACAATTTAAAGGGAGCAGTAAAGGAAGAATTTTGATGGATGTGGAAATAATATCTGCAGTTTGACAGAGAGCTTGATGAGCATTTGCTTTGGCTAATGCAATAGAAAAGACCACTTTCCTGTTTCTCTCTTTTCATGTTAATGACACCATTCTGATTCTGCAGTGGTAGGACCTGTCAGAACATGGGTGGCATATTGTCTAGAACTGGTGTGATACCCCAGAGCCAAATTGGTTGGTAGCACAAGAAAGACCTTCCAAAATGTTGTTGTCCCAAGAATAAGATGAGAATATCTAGGCTTGCTTTACACAAACATGAGAATTATAATGTGATCTTTTGGATCAAGTATCCATTTTTGGCTTCCAGATGTATGTACTACCAACCACAAGCCAACCCAATTGCTTGCCACAAATGCTTTCTAGCTAGCAAAAATAAAGCTGCAGTAGAATTTTGTATCATGTTTACTACCTTGAATAGTCTGGCTGAGACCTTGTTGTTTGGTTTCCTTTACAAGCCACCTTATTTGTCAGCATCTCTGCCAGTCTCACCACCTCTCGCAAGGCAGAATTGAACATGATGCAATGCTCTTCCTGACCTTTCAGATCATGCTGTAATAAGTGTATCTGTTGATTTACATTTTCCTCGTATTCAGCAGCCAACCGCTTCCTTTGCTGCATCTCTTCTTCTGCCTAGGTGGAATATAAGATGCAGGTATCTATTTTTTGCTTGTTTGCATTTGGATAAAACTTTTCTGCCCTTTAATAAAGTGGCAAAGATTAGAAATTTAACATAATTTTTGTTTCACGCTTAGAACTTTTGTAACAACATAAACAATTTCAGTTCCAATGTTGAAAAAGAAGTTGCAACGCACACTTGAGCAGAAGAATTTATGCTGAAACCTCTGCTAGCGAAGCAGAGAGACAAGAGCTCCCAGAAGAAGAGATGGGATGTGCAGATGTACCAGACAGATCAAACAAAAAAAAGAGAGCAATCTCTCAGAGATTCATCTCTGTGTTAGTGCAAAGCAGGAGCAGCAACACCTTTAAATGTTTTAAAGGCCCAGAAGAGCCTGTGTTTCACAGACATCGCAGTGTTGTTTTGCAGCCTATGAAACATTAAATGCCTACAATTCCAAAAGTGAAGTTTTGTGCGGCCGTGCCTAAAATTATGAAAGTACGGAGAATTTCATTTGTTATTCTGTGTGTAAGTGTCACTGAGCTCAGCTCTACCTGCTGTTTTGCTTTTAAGTAGGCTTCTGTCATTGTGCTCTCATAAACTTCCATCACTTCTGGGGTACTCAGTGTCTTTATCCAAAGGTTTTTCAGTGAAGATATTTCACTTGTGAGCTTGCGATAGATAGTTTTTACCTTTGGTGGAAAAAGAAAAAAGGTTGCATTAGGACTGTAAGAGATGATTTAGAGATGGTAAAGCCTCTCTTCAAAATAGATACCTCTGTGTAATTAGAACCCATGCTGCTGCCTGAATTTTCAGTACAAAACACATTAGTGCTAGTTTGTCTCAAATTAGGGTATGATGATTTTGCCAGAGTAGTCAACTGGTAACTGCATGCTGTAATTCCAGCTCCCTCTGCTGTCCGTTTAACCACAAATGGTATCAGTTTGGTGCAGAGGTTGCGTAAGGCAACCAAAATGATCTGTCTTAAGGTCACTACTCTTTGCACTATGTCGCATGGTATGAACAACATAAGAATATAGGTACATATTTGTGTTTCATGTTCTAAAAACATGAAAGTCGAAACAAAGCATGTTCCTAATAGCCAAAGCTTCGTGAAATAATGGTAACAAAGTTACCAGTTTTAGGCTCTTTCTACATAAAAATAAGTAGCCCCAGAATGCAATTTACCTCATCTTTGAAATGGCCCAGTTTGGTTGTGACAGATAGTGATTGTCTCAGCAAAAGCTCAAAGAAAACATCGGTATTAAATGACTCAAGGTCTATCTGTTCTTCAGACTCCCAAACATCACCCCTCTTCAGGAAGCCAGCTGAAACATGGATATTCATTAATTAGCTTTTTTTTCATTTAACGCTTTTTTGAACAAAGAATCATAGAATTGTAGAAGAGTTAGGGTTGGAAGGGACCTTAAGATGATCTAGTTCCAGCCCCCTGCCATGTTGCCTAGGCTCTGTCCAATCTGGCCTTGAACACTGCCAAGGATGGAGCATTTACCACTTCTTTGGGCATGTAAAACAATTTAACAGCCATTGTACATTGCTAAACATGGGATTCTGGCTCCGTTATGTGCAAATACCCACATAGACACACCATTGTTTAGCCTTTTTGCTATCTGACCTGTTCCATCAGTGCTGCGAGAGTCATCATCCATACTACCTTTGTTCTGCAGCAAGGGGTGACATTTTTTAATGGAAAAGACTGTTGATACATTGGAGGAATAGCTGTCCAGATTATACTTCAGCTGCTGCCTTCGATATGGAGGGCGGGTAGTGCCTTTCTGTGGCCAGCTAAGTCCCTGACAAAGAAGCTGCAACACAAAACAAAACAAGGAAGTTCCTTTTCTTATTTTGACATGTTCTATTAATGTGATTCACATGTTACTCACTTAACAAGCAAGATGCATCATCACCTGTAAGGCAAGGACCCTGATGAGAGTTTGTTTTCGAAGTGCATCATTAAAGTCATCTGTTCTAAATCAGAACAATTACTAATCCCAGCAGATAAGGCTGAAACCAAGGGGAAGGAAGTGTAGTTATCTGTTGTTTGGATCTGCTGGATGAATAAATCACATTTTCTGCCATTACCTCACTGGTCTGGTTGCAGAAAAAGCCTGTTCATTTCAGAACATACTATAAGCATAAAAGAATGGCTGTCTGGGGACTTAACAGTCTGAAGGACCAGCTTGTTTTTTAATTGTGAAACAGAACATCTGATTTCAGGTATATTGGGATCAATGGGACTTTTATTCTGAATAAGAAGTGCAAAACTGAATGGCACATGAGTGACGACTGGAAGAACTTATTTATGACTGACAGTTCTTTATAATGGCATTCCAGGACTTATCTATGTCCTCTTATTTTGAGGCAGGCTTGGTCAGACATTAAAGAAAATATAATTATCATCTTATTGATCTTGTTCCTTCCCAAAGAGTTGTGAGGAATTTTATTATGGTTTGATCTAATGAGGCAGAAAACAGGACTGAAATTCACCTATATCTTCAATGTCTCTAAGTGACCTATGGAGCAGGTAAATATATTGGGGCTTTGGTGGTACTGCTGCATAGATTCACAGAGATGAATTTTACCTCCTATATAAAACCTGAATTACAGTCTATCCTAATTATTAGCCCTGTAGATGATGCCTAAGGGAACAGATAGCTTGCAGATTAGTTGTGCAAAATTTTATCAAGGGGTCCTGTCTTTGCATTTACAATGTCCCTCTTAGCAAAGAATTTCATATTCCATACAAACGTTTGGAATTTTGAGTAACTACTACTTACTGTCAATACCACAGAGGCAATAAGCAGTACGAGAAGTCCTGTGATCACTGCAGTAACTGCTGTCCAGTCAGGTTTCAGTAGGAGGTCTTGGTTTTTTGCAATGCCCACCTGTACAGCATATCTGGGTGTTGTAGGGAAGAATGGCCCCTCTTCATAGCACTGTCCTCCAAGCGGCATGACCCTAATGTACTTAATAAAATAAGCATAAGAAAGCTGGTGACATGTCACCGCGTCTGATTTAAATATGCATGATGATTTAAACATTAAATGTTACTTTGCCTGTTACACTGAATCAAAGCTTAGCAGCAGTTGCACCACTTCGCACTCATATATGCAGCACATATGCATACATGTACCACACCTGTAAACTCACCTGTACTGTATGATGTACAAAAACTAAAAGATGCTCACTATTATTTTTTAAACTTCCAATGTTTCCAAACATTTGTATGGAATATATAAAATTCTTTGCTCAGAGGGGCATTGTAAATGCAAAGCCAACATTCCGTGATACGGACCATTTTTTTGTGCCGATTGCTACTCAGCTGTAGCACATAGGTACCAGGATGCTGGAACTGGAAAAGGAAGAAGAGGAATTGTTGGGCTTCTCTAACTTCCTCTCTGAGGCTTCGAAGGTCTCCCCAGTCAAATTCAGCATTCGTGTTGTACAGGTTGTTTCTAAGAGCAGAAGTAAAAAAGTCAGTTCTTGTCTCTACCCACCTTTTTTGGGTAGGCTTATAATTACAGCAGAGATTTACTAAGGTACAGTTGCCATTTAAGGTTTGTCCATACCAGCAGAAAACAGCATCAGTGTGAGTTTGGGCACTGCACCTACAATTGTCCACACAGCTCTACTGTTTACTAACCGCTTGCTTTGTTTTGGGTTGCTCCAACTGGTTCTCCCCCCCAGAAATGTGCAGTAGAGTAAGTTAGCCCTAAGCATCGTGGATATTTATTTAGCAGTGAAGAGATAGTTACTGAGACCCCTTATACGTGTTTAATCGCTGCAATGTCAACATGGAAACCACATGTAGGTTTTGTTATTGATTACATGTCCCTGGTGTTATTTGTATACTTTGAAACTGGATGAAGGGCAAAAAGCAAATCAAAATAACCTATAGGGGAAGAAACCCACAAAACCACCCAACCAAAAAAAAGCCACAAAGGAATAATGAAAGCTTTCATTGCAGTAAGATCTATTGGTTTCCATTTGGGTTAGTTTACCAAAACCTAAACCATAGCTCCAATTAGATCACAAAACTCAATAACTACAAGAAAGGGAAGAGAACTTAAGGTCGACTAGAGGGATTATACAGCATAAGTCAGTGAAAAGACAAATTATAAAGAGTGTGAACAGAGCTCAGAAATAGCATCAGCAAGACAACAGGAACAGTATGTATGTATTTAATAAATGAAAGTTTTCTTAACAACTTTCATGCTGTTTCCTACTGTGCCACAATGTCTTCTCTGTCAAAAAGACATTAAAGTATGTTTACTAATGAGATTTACACTCTTCCTAATCATGTGTTCTCTTAATTCTATGTTGAAAAACAGGAAAACTTCAGCCTTGCTCTCTGTAGCTTAAGTGCATTAGAAAGGTTCTATATTCATCATTTGTACTTACACATCATAAACAGGGTAATGCTCCTTGGAGACAATGAATATGATAGTAACATTAACATTAATGCATGTGATGGGATTTAAGATGCCAGTAAATATGATTTTTGATGTGGAGTTTGAGGGTTTCAGGCTTTGTACCCAGGAATGTTCTTCATGGCGAGACATAACTGTAAAAGCACAGACCTTAAGTTTGGATCATTACTAATCATATTCTGTCTACAGAACAACTGCAGGATATAGCATTTGCTTTTACTTTATACGACTAAGCTTTATACATGCAAATTTTGTTTCCAAAATAAGGCTTACTGTCAGGACAACATGCAAACATGCCACTGGCTTGCTATAGATTTGAGGATTTCTCTGCAACTGCTAAAGAGGGACTCAAGTCCTGCTTTCCAAGAGGCATGCAAGTGGAAGGAGGGGTAATAAGGAAGTGATCTCACATGCCCAAAGCTAAAAAGAGGGTGTATAGAAATGAAGAACAGAGCTAAACTATGGATCAGAACTACTAAACCAAAGGAGAGATGTAAGAGGAAATGAGGGAAGCTCAACTCTTGCTAGTTGCTCCTGAGCTCTGCCCTCCCTCCATGACAGTCAAGGTGGTCATGGCAGCACACACAGGTGGAGGCAACTTTTGCCCATACAGCTGTTTCTCATTGCACCTGGGGGAAAGGCAGGGAGCTAGAGAGAAGCAGTCTGCTGACCAGTGGGTTTGGGCTGTGACTGCAAAGGATCAGACTTTCAGTGCAGACAAGGTAAAGCTTTATGTTTGACTTTGCTCAGTGTGAACGGTTTCTCCAGGAGTTTGAAGATGGTGAGGTCTGTTTGATTTAACCATTGTTATTTTCTGGTTAAGCTGGGACAAAGCACAATTAAATCTTAGAGAAGCTGCATTAAATACGTGCTTTGGAGCTTTATGGGAGAACTTACCTGAATCTATTGCTGAAGAAGGCCGATCCTTGTTATGTGATGAAGCCTCATTTAGCATGAAGTTGTGGAATAGTTGTGGGTCAGGATCATACACCCCTAAAAATCCTTTTCCTGAAGTGGTATAAAAAGCATTGGTCACTTCTTGTTTTCAATAGGCTGGGTAGTGCTTTTTCTGCTAGTTTATAGAGCATCTGCTCACCAAAGACCCCAAGTAACACTTAAAAATCTAAACCCAAATGGTATACTTTTTAGTTCTTTCCTCTTATTTTTGAGTAGTGCTTTGATTGGGCCTCACTCCAAGCCTATAGGTTTTGTTTGGTGTTGCAAGACCTGTTCCTTAAATAGCATCTGGTTTACCTTGGCTGAAGTCAATGAAACTGAGCAAATTATTACATCTTATTGTCATTACTAAACTTTGGTTTATTTGCATGGTTGTGCAAAGAGTGCTTTTAGGATTATGGCTTTGTTCAGGAGAAAAATATGTTTAGCTACTTCTGATTCTATTTGGTAAACACCCATTGATATCTGAAGCCCAAGGGAAAATCTTTATGGACAAAGGACCTGAGAAAGGAGTTCAGGCAAATCTGTTTATCGTAATTTGGGGAATGGGAGGAAATTTGTGAATATCTGTCCTTTCTTGTACTATTCAAAATATACAGATTTCAAATGCCTGTTCTGGGATTGAGAAGGATGATTTTTGCATGGAGTTATTAGTTTGTATTGCTGCATGCTATCAGTTTATATGCATCAAGATTTCTTATTGTTTGTGTTATAAATAGGCTTGTGTGTATAAAAGCCATTTAATATACAGATAATACTATAACTGTTCTTATTCTTTCCCTTACCACTCATTTTCACAATGAATGCTGGATGGGTATATTTGCTTTGTTCTGAAGTGCAGGTGTCTTTTAAAGAGAAATATGGTCTCAGTAGAACTCTTCTTAATTCTTCTAAGAAAACAGCAATCTAATAGAAAAAGAGTTCAAAGATTTCTTTTTTTTTGCATTAATTTTGCATACAGTTGTAATATAAGATCACATACAGAAATATGCTGTGCATAGAATAGTGTCTGGGGGTTTTGTTTCTTGCTTTCTGTAATTTCCCAAGAAAAAAGGAATGAGGATGTTCTTTGGTTAAAGGGTTACTAGAAGTCTAAAAAGCCTAGCAAAATAGGTAGATTGCGGAAATGACTGCAGCTTTTACCTTGCTCCCATTTCTATAAGTGACAAAAAGCTGAGCATTTTTGTCTGTACAGGCGACCTGCAGAATATCTCTTTGTTGTCTTCTGCACTGAGAGTTACACACACTCTCCAGACTGTCAGTTTGACAAATGCAGAGGCCAAGAACCTTATCATATCCTTGATAATCTCTGGGGACAGTGCAAACCTGCAGAAGGAAAAAAAGGGATAAAATAGCAGTACAAATAATGTCCAGGTGTTGCTTAAATGAGGAAGGGAATCTGGCTTTCCTGTTTTGGGTTGAAGAAGAGGCAAAGCCTCCTGTGAAAATGCCAATAACACTTGGTTACCATGCTCTCTGTGCCTTCTAAAGGAAGAGTTTGAGCCGTTAGGGTAGTTTCTGTGTGATCTTTGGGTTTAACTAATGTAAAAACTGAAATACCTTCTCTGAGCAATAATGAACCCATCCTTCCTTGGTTAAACACTGTCCTTCCTGATTTCGCGAAGCTGAATCTCGACAAATATCATAAGCTTGTCTGACACAGTGTCTTCCATCATTTAAGGACCTCCAATAACCTGGAGGGCATGTGCAGTGAGCATCGCGGGGCTGGAAGAAAAAACAGGCATTTGCTTAGGAACCTGCAGTCTCATGCAGATACTGTTCTGTACCTTGCTGCATTAAGCACTGCACATTATCTGACCAGGGTCAGATGAAACTTTGATGACCATACACATACACTTTATCTTCCAGCAATGGGGGGAGGTTTGATGTAGCCCTGAAGAAACTCAGAGCATATGGGGACCTGGTGTCCCCTTCCCCCTCCCTACATTATTACAAATGAGGTGTAGGATTAAAGATTGTTGATACTAAAGAGAGAGAGACTGAAGAAAGAAGTGCAGGTGAGATAAAGAAGATGAAGAACAAAGTGTAAAGTAATACTGATATGCGTGAAGGCTGAAAAGCTTTTGCAGGACTGCTCCTGTACCTGAAACACCTGGCCTTTCCCAAGACAGATGCATGTCTCTTGCCCTTCTGCAGGCTGCATTGCCTCTGAGCCACATGGAAGACATGTATTTTGGCCGGGCATGGGATTGAAGAAATCCACTGGGCATGGCAAGCAGCTGTGCGATACCAGTGCTGCTCTTTCTGAACGAAAAGTTCCAGGCGGACATGGAACTGGTGTAATGCTTCCTTCAGGGCAGAAAAAGCCTTTGAACAACAACAGAAATGCTCATCAAATTTTCTTCTATAATGCAGCTGTATTGTTTGCATCTTTCTAGTTTAAATATTGTAGCTTATTTATGTCATCATAAACCACTTAAATCAGTTAAATGAATCCTGCTTCGACAAAAACATTCGTCCATTTCATTATTGTTTTACTATGCAGCACAGAAAGGAAGTCTTCTGATGTGTAAATCTCATTACACTGCATGCTCTGTTCTTGTTGTTTAAGCTTACTTACCTTTTATAATAGGAATTTCAGCAAGCCAAGTTATTATCTAAGATCTCCTGTAGCATTCAACAAAATAAAAGTCTGACTGCATTTTTATTGAGCAGTATATGACTGAGAAGCATTCTAAAGAAGCTAATAATCTCTGCTAAGTTATCTACAAATACCTGCTGGACAAATTGGCATATTCTCTTCTCTTTCGTTGCAATAAAGTCCACTTTGACAGTCATCATTTTGAAGTTGTAGTTTCCCATTGCCACAAGGCAAGCTTGAAAAAATAGAGAAAATGAAGAGGCAGAAGGCCATTTCTCTATCGCACCAACTAGCTTGATTTGCCAAATGCGGGTAAGTAACAAACATGCATAAGGAGAGTTTTCCTTTCAGCCACTGAATATTTGATGGTAAGTGAAAGTTAAAACATGGTAATGTAGTGGTGTAAAATATTCATGGAAGTTATTTGAGCCTGTTGTACTCCCCTACAGGTCATATAACAGAAGCTGTACTCTGTCCAATCTAAAGAATTTATATATGAAATATGACTGTTGCAGCACAGATAAGGGTTTATTTATGGCTATAGAAAATTGGCTACTGTACTTTGTAATATCAAGTTTTCAGGGTCCCTACAGCAGCCGTGATCTTTCAAAGTCTGTGAATCCGTGTTTACCAGAAAGGACCATCAGCTAGTATGGCGTGCATGGGGTTTTATTTTTGGGATAGGCAGCATAGTTTATGATGAGCATAAGCAAAAAAACCTGTTAAGCAATTTGTGTCTTTTGGGTGTTTACAACAGAAAATGGGGTTATGCATGGCTCTGTTTCTCAAGAGCTGTGGCAGCTCCTAGAATGCAGTTCAGGGACCCGCTTTTGAGTGCGCTCCTCTTTTTGCCATTCCTCGTGGGGGTTTTAAACGGCAGGAAAACCCGCAAGCACCGGTGATCCCGCTAACAGGAGCGCAGGGCTCTCTCCTGCCGCAGGTTCCCTTGTCCCACAGCAGGGGGCAGTGGGGCTCCTCCTGCCGCCCGCAGCCCGCGGTGCGGCGAATTGTCGGCGAGGGGAGGTAACGTAACATCTTGGATTAACGGGCGTTGGAGGCACTTCTGAAACCTTCTCCCCCTTAACAAAAGGCAGCTCCCCATGTGTCATGAAAGCTGTGTCTTATATCTAGCACAGGCTTCTGTTTTGAAGAGTGTAATCAAATATTCAAGAGCATTTCTGGATGATGCTTCCCGCTGCTCTCCTCAGTTTGTGCCTTCTGTAGCAATAGTAAATGCACACACATTTCTTAAAGATCTTTCACAAAACTACTAATTCAAAGAGCTGTATTTGGGCTGGACTTTCTAAGGATACAATAAATGAGTGATTTCCAGGTATATTTTGAATTTCAGTCGCTGTTCAGCCTGAAAAATAAAATATGAAGGGAGGGTCATTCAGAGAGAGGAGATGTTTATTTCTGGTTTTGCAAAAGTTAGGACTGTGTCTTAATTGCCAGCGTGTGGGTTGCCAAAAACTATTGCTGTCCCTCTGGCAAATACCTGATTTTACAATGAAGGGTTACTAGGTATACAGTTTTCTTTTATATGGGTAGTAATGGCTGGAGTCCCCAGCCAAAGGTTGTGCTTTATAGGGGAATGTACAATACAATATCCACTAAAACGGTTGGGTTCTTAAAGTGTGATTTATTTAGATATGAATTGCCTGCACTTTAAATTACAATCCAAAACATTCCCACTCAATGACTGCCTAACGCTGGAAGTGCCTAAACTTCCCTCCTTGTTTGAGTTTGCATTCCCCAAGCATAGAGATCTCTGTCTCTGAGCATGCCTGGAATTGCCTCCATTGGAGAAATCCTGTGCATAGGTCTGCCTAAAACAGATTGGAATGCAGGAACTAGCTGTGATTCTGCCTATTCTCCTGTCCCTGCAGGGCTTTGCTTTGGTGCCTAGTCTTAGAGCACACCTAGTAAATTCTGGTAATTGCCAAATTAAGGGCAGCCATTTCTTCTTCTTTGTAGTCTGTCTGCCTCTCTCTTTAAATCATAGATAAAGCCAGAGCCATCTGCCAGCCAGCATCCATGGGGCTGGAACACTCACACAGAAATCAGAAAGGTACTTTCAGTTCCTTTCTTTCCCAGAGAGGTTTCAATCCATGTCTCTTACCTCATAAACTAGTGCATTGCTGCCAATCAGTATCTGTGAGCAGTGGGCGGAAAGCGAAAGGGAGGTAATAGAGGAATGAGTGCCTAATCTAGTTGCTCTTTGCGTCTGCTAATGTTGTTGTCTAGGGAAAGCAGTGTGTCGTTGATATTCAGCTCCTTCTTTCCAGCAGTGCATCTGTATTTCAGCCAAGCCCTGGAATCCACTGGAAGTCTGGAATATTCCTTTTCTTTTTTTTTTAATTCTAGGGAAGATGAGGTTGGGCAAGCATCCCATTCCTGGGTCTGATAGAGTTAAGATTTAGGGAATGCAGCTTTCATAGCACTGTGAAAATGACCACAGGAATTCCCTTAGGCATTAGGTTTCATAGGTAAAGAATATGAGAGGCAGTTTAGTAGCTTTCCTTCATATAGGAAGTATTTTATAGTCATGTATCTGATTTGCTACAAGACCAGCATCCTGTGGTAATGGGTCTGGGATAAGGAAACAAGTTGTGATATCATTGTCCCTGTTGAATCTTAGGTTAGTGATTGCTCTCTGTCATGAGCAGATGCACAACTTCCTTTTTCCACAGAACTGATATACAGTGTTGCTCTGTGTGTGTCAAGCTGCCATTTTCCTGGCGGCGATTGGAGTTTAATATCCCCATAAAACATTTCATGACTGCAATAAAGACCCAGAATTGGTGCCTGAGTCATTTTCAAATCCCTGGATGACATGATGACCCTTAGTCATTACCTGTCTTAATTCTTCAGTCCAGCCAGAGAACAGAAAAAAGGGGAGGCCAAATACAGGAAACTCCAGTTTTTCTATTTATTTTTTAAATAAGATGGAAAAATAAGTCCTATTGGGTAAATAGCCTTTAAAAGCATCATATTGAAGACGGAAATTGGAGGATTCACACCTTCTGAAGAGAGCAAAGCAGTCTCTTACTGTACTTTTCTGGTATGGGACTTGTAATCCATCTCTGATGCACATACAATGAACTTAATCATCGGTGGTTTTCATCTATGAAAGACCAGATTCATCTTTCAAGCTGTATGTTATTGCTAGCTGTTTTTCTTCCTGGGCATCAATGTTTGAGAACTATTTAGTATTTTAATTACATGGTATCAGGATAAGTAGGTACTTTAAATATCATAGTAAGGCAGTCAAGAAAAACTTGGGGCTTATTTCTCTCTTATTCAGTTGAATAAAGGTTTCTAAACAAAGCAAAGGCTGTGGTCACACAGCCATAGGTGGTGTTTGTTCCTCCGCAAATATTTGACCAACATACTCCAGAGTTACACAGATTATCTGGAGAATAAACTTTATGTGGAAAGGAAATAATGTTTACAGTAGACTGTGACTCTGCTAAAGGAGGCCAGTTACATTTAGATAATGGTTGCTCTACAATCATATGGGTTCTTGGAAGAGAAACTTACGCAAATGCTGAAATAGCTTTAAAGAATTCCAGTGAAAGGCTGGGCTGTGACAGTTGGCACATCAAGTTACTGATAGTTTTTGATGGCATTATCCACAACTAATTCTCAGAGGACTTATTACTCTAAAAACTACAACTTATCTTGAGCCTTTGCACCTTGCTCCAGGGTTAGGACCTAATGACAAGCTTGCAGTATTCATGGTGCTCCCTTTCAGTTTTACAGCTGGCTGAACTGGGAAGGGAGGGTGAGGGTAATTATGTGACCCCAATTGCAGAAAAAGTCAGAAGACTTACAACTAGTTCCTGCAGACCTGCTTGAAGGAGTTGTAACATACGACATGTATTTATTTTATTGTGCTTGGGTTTTCTTTGTTTTATGGTTGTCTTTAGTTTTGTGTGTGTTTTGTTGGGTGCGGTTTGGGTTTTCGTGTTGGGTGAGGTGATTTGTTGGGCTGTTTTTGGTTTGTTTGTTTGCAATGTGCTTAAGCCCTGCAAAAGAGGAAGGCATCTTTCTCCACATAAAATACAAGCATGTGACAGCACAACCCGGAGCTTTGTTAGGGGTATTTGTCATCTTCAGAAAACAAACACCACCCATTAAATTGAAGTGGTGAAAGTGATCCAACGTGTGGAAGACTCTCGTTTTATTTTCATTCCTCTTTCCATGCCTTCTTTGGTATATTTCTCTTTATTCTTCTCTATTTACTGCTCATCTAGTTGGTTCTTTTTGGGTAGTCAAATGAGCAAAAGGCTTGGGGCACTTGGGACTCAGCTGCAGTGTTGGAAAACAAAAAAGCTGAAGACAAGTTATTCTGAGATAATCCTGAAAAACCAGACCAATCATAATTTAAACAAATGAAAATACAGGCCAAAGAGAGCCCAGACATTTTCATGTCCCAGGGACAATACAGAGACTGGAAGTTGCTAGGGTTTTTTTGCTTTGACTTTCTATTTTGGCAATGGCAATGTGTTATGGCTAGGTAGATTAAAACCTTGGAGGGTATAAATTAGCATCTCTGCAGCTGAGCTCTGATTCTGGGAGAGGAGGTAATGTGGGGAGTATTGTGTCACATGGCTTTTGCTTCCTCAGGGAATTAAAATACAAACTTTATTTCATCTGTAAGACAAGGAGCTGAGGTTTTGTTTTACAATATTGCCCTTGTTTCAGCTGGATAGAGCTGTAATTTTCTTCCTATACAAATAGACAAGTATTTCATTGGAGATAATGAGCATAAGAAATAAAAATCCACTATTGAAATGATGTCTGTTACGTACATAAATGTCATCAAGGTGGACTTCGATAGTGTACATGCTTTGCAAGCATTCCACTTGGCTGTGAACTTGAAAAACTGCTGGGTTCTGTAGAACCTTATCTTTTTTTAATATCAGGAAAGGGATTGCCTTTGTGTGTGAGTAATAATTCCAGTGAAATGGAAAGGTCGTGCTAACTAGGACTCAAAGCACACACCTGGAAGCATTAGAAAATGAAACCAGAAACTGTCCAAGGACTTAAAGTTCTAGTAATTTAATTTCTGTTCACTGGTATATCCTAGAGTTGTTCTAGCAGGAAGATATTTCTTGATTAATTGAGATGTGATTTCATCACAGCTTGAATGGAGGTGTAAGCATGCCTTTTATTCCAGCTCCCTAAAGAAAAGGATCAGAAAGATGCTTAAGAGTCTAGTGAAGAAAATGAAAGCTGAAGTTTTAAGGGGCTGTACTTTGTGGACTTTAGAATACTTTAAGTGTCAGGGTTTGTGAGGATGGAAATATTTTTTGGCCTTTGTGTATACCTTTGAAGGCAGGTTCTTGTGTGTTTTGTGCCGCTAGCGAGCAATTAGCTGTGAATACCTTTCTAGAAGTAATTGTGAAGTATTCAAAAACTGGTTACTCATCAGCAGCAAAGGGATCCAGAGGGGTTCATTTAAAACAAAACAAAACCAAGGCAATCTTAATATTTAAAATCTGCCACTAGATTTCTGTTGTATTAATTCCTGCTGCATCCTTTCCTTTACATCTGAAGTGAGTATTTATTCTGCGTTACACAGCAACCCTCTGGTTACTCAGTATTATGATTTGTACATATACTTATCACACCACAGACATTTCAGTATTTGTGTTCAGAGATCTTGTTATATCTCAAGAAATGAGACTTCTGTAAACTTATTTGGCTAGTGCTGATAGGTAGAGATAACAAATAGAGATAGATAATCAAGAGCTGGGACCTACCCAGACTGGCTTCTCATGGGTGTAGCAGTGAAGTATGTCTAAGCATGGAGCAGAGCAGTGCCTGGAGCCTTCCTGATATCAACTGGTTAACACCTTCGTGGGTTTTTATACCTGAAAAGTGAGGTTTTATGCACTGGAGACTAAACTCTTGCTGCTAATAGAAGTGAACCCTGAAACTGTGCGACTCAATTAAATGTGAAGTGGCTTCAAAGCAGATGACAAATAAAAAATGGTAACATGGAAACCCAGGGAAGAAGGAATAAGCGTTGTTTCCTGGGGATTGCAAGAAGCTCAATAAGAACCCCCTTCCCCTCGGGGGGGGGGGGGGGGGGGGTGTCCCCCTAGGAAAAACACTTCCTGGTAACCTCAGTTTAAAATCTTTTCTCCTCTTAGAAACCACATGGAATGAGGGATGGAGGAAAAAAAAGTCAGGAAAATGATGGTGTGGTACTTCAGGCACAGGTGCTATGTGACCATATCTGCACGGGTTTAAGTAACTAGGGCAAGTAGGGGTGCCCGAAACTCCAGCCCACTTAGACTGTCTCAGGACAGAAGGGAATTCTTTAGGGCTGATCCTGCAATCTCCAGATACTCAGGAGCATAGCATGCTTATCCTGAGGACAAGTGAAACTTCCAAGTAAACAGACTGAAGAAGTGTGCAGCAACACTGAACTGCAGGTGCTAGCTTTTGTTCATATATGGCTGGGACAACTGGGGTCATAGTGATTGCTACAGCTTGAGAGATCTCCTCTTCAGATTGAGTGGAAGCCAGTATAGTTTCCTCTTTCCTTGCCTCCCCCTCTGTGATCCCTTTTCAAAGTGCTTGTGACACAGTTTTTCAGTTAGTGGGACTCCTTTCTCTAAATTTAATTTCATCTGTCCTGTTCAGCCCAGCTGCAGAAACATGTCTTGTTTTAAATTAAACCATTTGGTTTCCAAGTTTCTCTAGCCACAAAGAAAGTAGGAAAAATAAAACTTGATGGGTGAGACTGTTCTAAAAGAATCTGAATCAGCCAAGAGCTCAGCCTCTCCCTCTTGTTTGGCTCAGAAACTTGGCTCCTCTAGCTCTCCTTGCAAGTCAGACTGCTTTCCATCACATGGAGAGAGATGTGGAGTTATGGGAAACAGGATGCAGAGTGGGGTGCAGGAAATGTCAGTGTTTTTTTCTTGAATGCCAGATGTTGATCCATATCCTCAAATGGGCTGTGGAGAGAGTCTGGTGTCCAGCATCCCACTGACTCTTCTCTTGGCTCATCATCTAAAACATTTAATTCTTTTTGTTTGTGTGCTATAAGGATTTTTTGGTTTTTTTTTTAAATGTAATTAATTTTCTTCTATGTGTTTTACTTACAATCATGGCATTGTTCTCTGTTTAAGAGAGCAAACAGTTCATATGCTTCTCAGTTAAGTTTTCTTGGATCTGGGAGATGATGGCTTGTTTAAGCAAAATCCAGCAGCCTTAGGCAGTCTTTGATGCAAGAATTGTGGATATGCAGCAAAGCATGATTTCAAGAACCCATTTTAGGGGCTAAAAACAAACCAGGAGGTGGATTTTCTGCTGTGCTCAGACTTCGTTGGTGTCAAGCTGAGGTGACAGGGTCAGAAAGCTGCTGGATCCCTGCAAATTTTCATACACTTATGCCAAAAAGAATTTGGGTCCTGTTGTTCCATTTGGCACAAGCAGTAATAAAGAATAATGCTGGAGCATTTCTGCCATCATTAGCTACTGAAAGCAGCTCTCAGAGGAGCTGTTTGCTTAAGACACCTTCCATAGTTAATGGTCTGTAGCAGGTTTTCTTGCTGCTTGCGGACTTTTGTGCTGCTGAATATCTGGGCTAGAACCCCTCTGCTCTGATTCCTGTGTTATTTCTATCCTTTCAGTTTATATAACACCTAGAAGAGCTTCTGTGTGTTTGCCGTGCAGGTTCTTCCTTATCCATAACATGTTTTCCGTGATCTTTTAGTCTCTTACAATGCCATTTGTCACCCCTACAATTTATTCTGTGTACATTTCATAGATACAGATGAGCTGCTTGGTCGCAAGGCTTGTGCTTTTTTTTTGTCACAGCGTTTTATAGTAGCCTATCCTAAGTAATTGTGTTACCGATACCTAGTGGAAATATGTCTGTGTGCACCAGAAAAGATGTCCAGTAGAGCTCGATGACTTAGCATTGCAGGCCTTTTTTCTCAGGACTGCTCTACTTGTTGACTGTGTAGTAGCAGCATCCAAGCATCTGTGCTTATGTTTCCTTCTGGAACCTTAAGATGTTGATTTTGCAGGAGAAAGATCTAATATTCAGCCGAAGTCCTAGTGAACTTCAGCTCTTAGGGCTCTGGTTCAGATACTTCTTTTCACTCAATTCTTGGTGAGAAAAACCTAGGAAACTGGCATGAATACCACAGGATTCTGTACATCCATTTGAAGTCCGTGGTTGCTTGGTCATTCACTTAATGTACAGGGTCTGTGGCCTTGTGACTATCACTGATATTAAATACGTGCAGTGTCCATCAGAGTCCTGCTAGGAAAATAAAGCCTTCATCCTTGTCAGGGCCTTGAACATCCCTCAGAACTGCTGGAAGTGCTGAATCTGGTCTAGCTGTTTATTCTTATCTTTCTTTGCTGAATTGCTATTAATTCAGTGGCAATGCTTTCACACTGCTTTTAAAAACAATTATGCATGCCAATACTCATGTATCTTCAAAGGAGCAGGGAACCTGAGTAACCACATAAACCAGTGAATGACACTCATAATATGGGGCAAGAAGTGAGGTGAAGAAGGAAAGCAACTTCTCTAAGTATGGCTTGTGCCACAGTTCAAAGGCATGACTATAGCTTGTGGGGAGCACATGTGATCTGATTTAGAATGAACTAGGTGTAGGAGTTATACCACAATTACTAGCTTGGCCACCATAACTGGTGCTGAAGTGTCAGAAGCACAGCATTTGGGTCCCAGGCATGCCACAGTCTAGATGTGCACCCTGAACCTTATGCTGCTGTGGTTGCTGATTTAAAAAAGGGCACAGGGCTGGGTAGTTTTGAGCCAGATTGATAATGTAAATGCAGCTCAGAAGAAGTCTGCTCTCTGCTGTGTGCCAGACAGATTTAGTGCTGGGAATGCTCCTGCCGTGTCCTGCTGCGTGTGCAGTGTGGTAACTCTTTCCCCTCTGCTATAAGTATGGTGGTAGAGCCTGTGTGAATAAACCATAGCACATGTCTTGAGGTCAAGAAGTCTTTCCTTGGAGTTCAGTGACCTGAAATCTTTTTGGCACCACGATCATGGAAGCCAATTTCTGTAATTAATGGGAAAAAGGATTTCATAGGAGCAAAAGGGTATTTCCAGAGCAATAGGCTGGTGTTCATGTGTACATATTCAAAACTTCAGTTTAAAGACAGTTGTGGGTGAAGCTATGGAGTTCATTCTGAACATTGTAAAACCTTCTGCTAAGATCCTGCTAGCACTGTTAACTGAGGAGTGTTGAGCTGGGACTGTCCAGAGATCTATGGGCAAACTTGCACAGTGTGTGTGGGACTGAAGGAAGTAAAGGTAATGCTTCAGTAAATGCTATCAATTTCTTTGAGATGGTCCTGAATTAGTAACAGGCCCAGGTTAAGGAGCTGCTTTGCCAGATAAGGTTTTCCTGTCATGATGGTAAGAGAAGCAACAGCCTTTCATCTGAACCATCAAGATCACTAGGCTTATCTAGTGCTGTACATAAAGGTCAGAGCTAATTTCTAGTGCTGGCCTTGAAAACAAGGAGGGATTTTTATCTTTTATTGAAGAAATCATCTTTTTGCCCAGCTGTCTGGGGTAAAGCTGGTGCTTCTACACAAGCACCTCTGGACTCTTAAAGACAAAACAACAGCAAAATACCCTTTCTACTTGTTAGCTTTTAAAGTCTGCTTAATTTGTGCTTTTTCATGATAGTTACTTCTGTTGTGAGTGTAGCATGGCTATTACGAGTACATAAAAATCAGTAAGTTACATACTGCATGAAATAATACATTTATTGACAGGAAGGAACAATGAAACAATGTAAAGCGTACCTACTAATGTCAAAGCAATAAATGTATAACTGTTGTAGAACATACTTTACAAGCTAGTTCAGCTTTGAGTATATTGAATAAATGATACATACTGATAGCTGAAGATTCCTGTTCTTTTACCTGAATGATTTCCGTGTGACTAAAAGAAATCAATTAATAATTCATTCTTATGTGGTAGTTTTCTACACTTTGAGATATCCTGTAAGCAAATTCATTTCTTCATTAAGAACGCTTATTGATACACTTCACTATTTGTTCGCCATACTGCTTCATTCTTGGTTCTGTAATTGATGCAGAATTTCAGTTTTCATTGTAAATAAGGAGTCTTTAATTTCAGTGGGTGTTCAATCTGATCCTTAAACCACGTGAATGGAAGCTGAGTAACCTGGAAGATTGTCATTAATTCTCTTCAAAAGCATAAAAAGTTCTGTAAGCACAGATGTGAGTTAAAATGCAAACATGAAGGAAGAATGAGTGGAGGGGGGGCTGTGGAGCAGAAAAAAATCATTAGAGAAGAAAAAGTCTTTATTTCCAAGTAAAACCTGGGGCAAAAAGTGAAGAAAAATTCACATAATTAAAACACAGAGGCACCTATGGAAGGAGGCGGTTGAATATTCTGTAGTGTTCTGTAATTCATCATGTGAGTAAAAATCTAATATTTATTTTATGAAATACTTCAGAAGTTTTTAAGTATCATGTCTCATTCTGACCAGAGAAAATACTAGAGAGGAGAGTGGTATTTAGGTGTTCAGGGCAGAAGAATCATAGGATAAGACCCAAATCCCAGTGGAATTAAGTAAAACACTGTCATTTTTCAGTAAAAGTTAATTTCTGTTGTGCAACATAGCTCGCGGAGCTTAACACTTAAGGATATCCAATAACAGGAAAGTAACCTTTTTTACAAGAAGAAAATGCAAAGGGTTCATTAAAAATATATTCCCCAAACATGCTGAGTACTCAATACTGGATCCTGCCTTGGCTACACATGAAAAATCTCCCATTTACTTCAACAGAAGGTACACATGTGAGCTGATTGCTGGATCAGTGACTTCGTAGGTTATGTAAATGTAGATTGCTCCATATGTAGCAAACAGGAAAGTTTCATAGAAACCAGCTAATTCACAATCAGAAGTTAAAATAAAATGATACTAAGTCTGGGAAGAATTATTTTGACAATTATTGTCTAATTTATAGGAATTCTACTGAATACTTGGCTATCTGGCAGCATGGAATAATTTTAGCTCCTTGTTATCCTTTTAACTTGCAATATTGCTTAGTATAAACAATGGCCTTTAAAACCGTTGTTATATACTTAAATTTTGTACAAGTATATTTGTTACGTCACCCAGAGTGAAAGGAATGGATTCAAAACACTTTCTGTCCCAGACTTCACCTACGATCCATTATTGGTGGCAAATTCTGATTGCATAAATAAATAGCTCAATTTTTGTTGAGAGAACATGCTCAGTTACATGGTGTGGGTATGTTTTATTTTGATTATTTTTTTTCCCAATAGGATTGCCTGAACGCATAACAACTTCAGCCTTGGCCAAATTGAGCTGGTCTGCAGGAGGTATTAAAGCTAGCCCATCAGATTCTGTGTTCCCATAGTTCATGTTTAGAATTACATAGTGCCTGTGATTTCCAGCACACCTGAACACTGAATGTGGACTGTAAAGAATAATCTTACACTGGTACTTTTAAGACAAGGATCAATCCATCCAAGTTGATTGGTTTTTTTTGAGCTAGGCACCTGCATTAACAATTTGTTAGAGCTTCAGAATGTAAAACACCTGGAACTTGAACTTCAGAAGAGAAGTGCAAGTGATCAGCTTTGTGAGAAAATTACAACCTATTCATTTACTGGAGCATCTAACACTGAATGCCTAATACTGTTGAAACCTGGCTTGAGGGTTTTCTCCATTTATTGGTTTACTCTTTAATTCTCAGCACTGAAGAGATATATACAACAGTCAATTAAAGCTATAATACATTTGAAGAATTTTGATGTCTGTTCTCTGTCTGTACTTCAGCAACAGTTGGAGCACACGAACCATGAAGTGCAGATAATGAACTTTAGCAGCATTTCCCTGGAAGGCAATAAACCAACAAATATTCAGCTCAATCTATATGCTAAGTGTTTCTTTAATGCCACATATTTATTGCCCTATTTTCCACTTGGTTTTGGATGAGTAAGGAGTTTTGCAAGCAAAAGAGATTCTGACCAGAACGCTGGAGTTAATCTGAAGTGTATTATAAATCCCTGGGCATCTTTCCCATCAGTTCCATATGATTGTTATATAGCAATTCAGGGAAGGTGCTGGAGCTAGCTACTGTATTACAATGGTTGAGTTGCAACGATGCTAACTAGAGAAATCAATTTCCTGCCAAGAAATACCTTTAAGAATGATGTCAGAGGTCCAAAGATGGTATGGAAAAAAGCTCAGAAAAGTTATCTGTTGATGAGGGACCAAGCGTTCTTCTTGGAGCATCCAGCAAGCCGTAACTCTATACAGATAAGGAAACCAGAATAGTAAACTTCCAGCATTAACAGTGATGTAGGTTTTGTCTCAAGAACTTGTACTGGTTTTGACATGTGAAGCCTAGATTCTTCCCCTAATCATAAGTAAGACTGGAGAGTATGGCACCTTAACAGTCCAGTCAGAAATGAGCTGGATTGAAATTGTTTGTGCTATGTTTTATGTCCTACAGAGCATAACTGTTAAAAAGGTAAGTTCCTAAATGACTTGAAATGTAGCTTTAAGTTTGTATTGCTAATTGAAGTCTTATTATACTATTGGTGTCTGTATATGTACACTGGTGGGAACCCTTATCTGACAGAATGAAAAAAGACCCTAGAAAAAGTAGAAGGGCTGCAGCTTTTAAGCACTGCATATTTGCTTAATCTTGGGCAAGAATACCAGAATCTATGGCAGATAGTACATTGTTTCTGTAGAGCAGAATTTCACCCTTGACACCTAGTCCTCTGTTAAGCACTCAGGCTTCTGCTTTTCACTGTTGGTGTTTTGCTTCCTCCACCAAAACTTTAGCAAGAAATGCTGATACTCATAGGATAATCTGGTTAACTTTTGGCCCTGTAATGCAGGTTTGGGGTAGTTTTGGTGTTGAATGTGTGTGCCAAGGGACAGAGAAAATGAGCTCTTTTAAGAAGCCTCTGAAGGTAATTGAATATAGTGGCAATACTTGGGCCTGTAGCATTCCTTTATTAACATGAGAAGAATTTCCCTGGTGTTGCTTCAGAGAGACCTCTATCTGGCTTGGTGTGCTGTAAAATGTTGGAAATGAAGGTATTGTTGCTAGGAGGAGTTTGGACTGGGGACAGGCGTGAACAATATGCTGGCAGCACTTGCATGCAACTAGATTGCTCTAAATAATAGCAAATATAGCAGTCCCTAGAGCTGAGATGGGACCAAGTGTAGTAAGAGCTCATACAGTGCTTTTTCCCCAGGAATTCCCAGGGGATTTCCTGCCCTATGCAAGATAAGGCAAAGTTGGAAGCGTCATCTAATGTGTTTATAAGATGGTACAGCTTACATTACTGCTTTAGTTTCTTTGGTACAAATGCTAGAGCTTGTGTAAAAGTAGCTATAGTTACCTTTTGAAGAATGTTCTGCCAGTTAGATTTATGACTCTGAAGCAAACACATAAGTTCTGTATTCTCCTCAATTTTTAAATAGGAAGTGGTAATTTGACATGAATTTAGTACCTGCAAATGACAGCAAAACCCATGATTGCTAAAGGAAAAAGAAAACTTAAGACCACAGCAAGCACCCTGTTGCTGGTCCTCACCTGTAACTCAGGCTTTCCTCCCATTTGTAATAAGCAGTTAATTCCTTCCAGAATTTGATCTTTGCGTAGTCTGATAAACCTTCCCGTGTCAGTATTGGTATCAGTCTTTTGAGATTCGGTTACTAAGGCAGTGTGGGCAAGAGCAGCACAGTGCAGTGGTGTTAAACCTGAACAGAGCAGACCACAGAGCAGTCAAAACATCCAGTGCTTGAGCATGTCACCAGAGTAAACTATTCCACACTGGGTTAATCATCAGAGTGCTCTATTCAAACTGATTGACTCTCCTCCTAGATCTTTCAGTTTTAAACATGAAATTGAACATTCTTTGGCCCAGATAAAATCTGTAGTCTGAGACTTTTGGAGTCTACACTAATCATCTATGCAGCTAAGCTTTTCCTCTTACCGTAATGGTCAGTCAGATTCACTTCCACACACACCCCGTTGTTTTTGCAATTTTTCAAAACCTGAAATGAAGAAGCTTGAGATAAGTGCTCATCTTTGACAATGCCAGAATACTACCTCCTCCAACTCCATCTTACTTTAACCACAGCAGCCTAAAGCTAATTTTCAGGCACAGAAAACCCTCGTATATTTTTAAAACAAGAACATTCATTTGTTGTCTTTGCTCTGCCTTTTCACAGTATTTGTACAACATAAATGACCAACTTACCTCTAAAACTCTCAAATATCCATTCTCTGCACACAGATGGAGTGGAGTTTTCCCTAAACTGTCCTGTTCGTTGACATTGGCTCCTAGGGATATCAGGTCACTCACCATCAGATGTTGGTTCTTTTCTGCGGCAAGATGTAATGCGGTCTAAGAAGAGAAGAATGGGAGAAAAATCATTGTTAAAGACAAAAATTTGCAGAGCACTTTCTCCCTGTTCCTATTTTCCTGTCTCTGCAAGTAGACACAGTAGACACACCCTGTCCAAAAGGATGCTTGGTGCTTGACTGGGGTTTGAAAGATGTTTGTATGTGATAGAAAATGCCGCTGTCTTGGCAAGTTAGCATCCTACCCGTTTCTCTGCATCCTTCTCGTTGATCTTATTTAGAGTTGCAAATCTCTGTGCAAGTGCATAAGTCAGAGCTCTTTTACCCTGAGCAACAGCCTTGTGCAGCAGCCTGGAATAGAACAGAGTTTTAAACAAATAGGAGACAAAGTAGTGGTTAAAATACTTAAAAATAAGAGTGAGAATATATTTTAAGACATGAAATGTTAAGGTTTGCAAATGCCAATATCTTGGGATATTTAAGTGCTTAATTTATTTAGTCTCTATATAAATAACGGAGTTGCTGATTTTTATCTGTCAAGATTTCTTGGTCTTCCTTTCTTACTATTATGCCATTCCTCTTCTCTCCAACAGCGACTCTATTATTCCTTTCTGCTAACAATCTTCTATTTCCTCCTCCTTTTTTAACGCATCCTTCGGTACAGGGAAAAGAGTATAAGATACTGAAAAATCAAGAGAAGGGAGGAGGGCAGCTCAGTGTCTTCTATGTATTCAGACTCCCCAAACTACTCAAAATATTACAAGTGTTTCTCCTGAATTTAATCCTGAAAAAGATTAATTTCCCCCTCTCCTTGTAAATTTGGGCATGTCTTCTTTTCCTCCTGGAAGAAAACATAATGCAGGCATTGATTTTATTTATTTATTTCTCCCTTGTCTTGTAGCATATCCTTGGATAAGTCGGAATAACTCTGATACTTATTGCTGTTTGCTATTTTTTTGGTGGGGAAGGACGAAGGCGATAAAAGAGAGGGGATGTTGACACAGAACTAATACCATTCACCATCCAGTAGAAATTAAATTAGCTTATTTGTTGTGTTGTATGTTCTTTTGAGCATGTAATCTGATGTTTAAATATTTCATGAAGATAAGTGGCCTGCTGGAAATTTTATGTGAATATTACATAAACATGGTAGTAGTAATGTCTGAACTTCTTAATTGTGATTAAATTTGTTCATGCGTGAGAATCTTTTTTTCTGTATTGCTTAAAAAGATGCAGGAAAATATGGCAGTGAGTCGCTTATTGTAACTTTATTATAATACTGCTGGAAAGTCAAGTCTCTAATCTTATTATTGCACTGAAAATAATTATTCTGAATTAAATGTGGTACTTCATGGAAGAGGACTATGCGGTGTTTAGCTTTCCTAGGCTGGTTTTAAATACATTAAATTGGGAAAACAGGATTGTCTATGGGAACAGGAATTAATCTTTTTCCCACCAAGACTAGGACAGTTTATGTCATGCTTTCTGTCAATCTGATTTGGTACCAGCTTCCCCAAACTATCTGAACTGCATGGAACCTAATAAAAAATTTTAAATGTGTGTGTGTATATATATATATATAATTTATGGACAGCTATTTTCTCTATTAGCCATCCTAGGGAGAATGGAATCAGTAAAACCTTTGGTTTCATTCCATTTCTAGCAAAACAGCCACTCCTAGTTCTTTGGAAGTCTGTGCTCTAGACTACCAGCATATAAATGTTTTGGTGTAATCCTCCCACCCATTTTTATTACCAACTAATAACACAAGTAATTATCCTGAGAGTGTCTGCATCATGGAAAAGATCTCTTTTGCATATCTTTCCTTTTTTTTTTTTTTAGTAGCAGTTACTCGTTTTGCTTGATTTTCATTTTCTTGTGACCACCTACATATAGAACTCAGCCTTTAATACTGTTAGCACTTTGAATTTGTCCTGATATCAGCTTTGGTTTGGCAATACTACTGTGAATATGGAATCTTTCTATTTTTACTATCTGCCTACAGCCGAGTGTACTGAGGCAAGCATGGGCTTCCTATTGAGCAAGGAAGCCTTTGCTACAGGTATGTCCAAAACTAGCTGTTGAAGCCTCGGGACAAGAGGTGCCCCAGGAAATAGGAATCAATATATTTCAACAGAAAAATTGGAGACCTGTTGCCATTTTCATCAGGGGCAAGCAGTTTGTCTGCTGGGATATTTCTCAGTAAACTTTCTTCCCTGTGTAGCTGGAACTGGAAGAAAGAGATGGCAGAAAGATCCTGCTGTGTGAAAGAAATTGGGGTTGACTTTGAATATCCTTCAGTGTCTGGAGAGCTTGAATGAGCTTCCAGATGCATCTCTGAACAGCCTCTTGATGGGTTTGTGTGTGGAGATGTGTTCTGTGAAGAATGCCTCAGGAAATCTCTCTGGGTACTTGTGCATGCATCCTGTATCCACCAGTTACTCTCTTTCTCACTTGTCCTTGAGGATAATTCAGGTGAATTGGACTCTTGCATGTTTTTCAGATCATGGTGAAAAGAAGTCTCTACCTCTCCTCTCGATACTGAGTTGAAATCTTTAAAACAGCAGTATGAACGCAACATGGTTAAGCTGTGGCGTCTTTCCTGCAGGCCACCAACTGCCTGTTTGCTTCCTCCAGTTTCCCACCGGGAGGCTTGCAGATCCATGGAGAAGCCCTGCCAAAAGCCATCTGGCACAGAATGCAGAGACTCCTCTTTCAACTGGCTTTTGTTCAAGTCTTCCTGCAGTACCTCCACCAGGATATCGAGGTCCTCTAAGCCTTTTAGCGTTTGCCCAACGTTCTGCTTGCTCTGAAACAGCAACAAAAGTGGGGAGGGCAGAAGATAGGGGAGAGAAATCAGACATGAAGTGTCCTGTTCTCACTCAGTGATATAATACAAAATGTGCCTGAGGAGGCTGGCAGCACGGAGTTGAAGGTGTTATGCATACCTGTCTAAGCTGTTTCTCTGTATAAGGGTGAACTCTCCTCTTTTCTGTTGGAAAGAAATGAAGAAATAAGCTATTTTGAGTTGGGGGGTGTGGGGGGTGTGGAGACACGTGCAAAAAATATTAGGATCAGAAATTTTGCCCCAGGTAGGTAGATAACACATACATGGTGTTGCACAGCTGGCCTGCTCCTGTAATTTAAGGGGAGCTGGGAACCAGCATGGGTCACTAACCACATAAGAGAAGTGGTCTGGCTCTTCGGGTACCTAACAGTGATGATGCTACTAGAAAAGGAGGTTCTGTTACCAAGAAAGGAGTTTTCTAACCTCTTTTTCCTGAGGATCCTTTGGTTACCATCTTCATTAATGAGGCTTCCTGAGGAGACAAAAACACCCAGCTCAATCTGAGATGCTTAGACGTAAGAGAAGATAAAACAGCGGCAAATGTTGTAGCACAAAGTGAATTCTGTCCTGTGCTATGTACATTGAACATCAGAGACTGCAGGTGAATAAATTTCCATGAGCGGGTAATTCATGGCAGCCTTATAAAGATCTTTACAACAGACCAGGAATTTGGGAATCAACCAGCTTCTGAGGCTGTTTTTGCAGGTTGTTCAGAAATTGGAGTTGCTATAGCAAAATTGTAATTGTTTCTTAGCAAATCTTTGGCTTGATTGCATAGTTTATAGCATCCAGGGCATGAAGAGGTTCTTGCTGTTACTGTCTTAGAGATGTTCCTAGCACAGGCCTTTGTCATGTTTAAAATTTCATATATTCTCCACCTCCATCAAAGCCATTGATGTGGTGGATGGAAGAAGCAGAGGCTGTAGACGTAACCTCTCCAGAACCCTGGCAGAGTTGAGTGTGTGATTTGAATGTACCGGGATCCCAGACCTTTGGGAGCAACCTTTCTAAACTCAAGGAGAGTCCTCACCTTGCTGTGAGCTGGGTCCAGGCCTTTGGAAAGACGAATTTTTCTCAGTAATTCCCGTACTGGCATCTTTACTCTCACACCCATGTAGCGCTTCTGAGGGGGATCAGATCTAAGTCCAGAGTCTGGAAAAGTTATAACACAATGCTTAAAGTAACATAAATCTCTGAGCTACTGTAGGATAGTGGGAGGATGATGTCACCCTGAGAGAAGGACTGTGATTCTGATGTTCATCATCAATTGTGGGAAATTTCCACATCACCTCCCACATTCCTTAGCTCTGGCCTACTTCCTACTCAACAATTACTTTATTTCATTGTGTCCCATGCTACAACAGACTGTGGAACCTCACAAAGGGAATTATTTTCTTAAGAGACAAAACAAACCCCAAAGCTGGCTGTGGGATCATCAATCTGAGGGCATAAGCAGAGAGCTGAGTAAACCTGCAAATTACCACATGAAGACTACTGTCAAACCGTAGTGTGCAGAAACGGCTTCAGTTCTTCAATTTTGAGTGAAAGAAGAGGAGAGACTGTACCAAGTGTAAATGTGGCACTGGAGCTGGAAAGAGGACAATAGGGTAAGAGTAGCAGGCAGAAGGAAATCCAGATGAATGCTTGGGAAGAAGAAGGTAAAGAAGTCAGATGTTTCTGGTTTAAAGCTTTCAGTGGTGCAGAAATAAACATACTATCTTGAGGCTTGGCTTAGGGCAGGTTTTTTTAGTGCCCTTCAGCTCAGGGTGTCATAGTGACTTAGAGGCCATGATTACTTTTGGGGACTATGTCAACACTATTTAGATTACTGCCCCTCTTAGTCATGTTCTGATTTTCATCTGTCTTTGCAATTTTCTACTGTCCTGTGGTTTGATATATTGACTTCAATGGAACAATAAAGAACAGAGTTGTTTCAGAATTGAGATAGTGATGCTATGTCCAGAGACTTTCTCTAGTGGTTCTTGATGTATTTGGAAGCCAATGTGGTGTGATCCAAAGGGAAGCAATGATTTTCTGCAGTGAAATGAAATAGTTATTTGAGAATATATGCAGTTGTCCAAACAAGCTTGTCTTTGTCAAAACAAGCTACTCTGTAATTGTTTGTGTTAGGTCTTCTTGCATCTTGTACTTGAATCCCTAAACTTGAAAGTCTTGCCCAGATTAGGAGCTTAAATGTGCTGCTTTTGAAATACCTTTTATGTAACTGTGTCCCACCCTCCTTCCCCCTTCGAGAATTATCTTCATCATGTAGAATGCATTCAGTAACAGCTATTGTCATTATAAACTGATATCTTTATTGCATTAGCTTAGGGTCTTCTCAACTAGTTAGCACATAGAATACACCACATAGAAAGTCACTGTTCCAGTAAGTCTGAGTGTTGGGAGTTGGAGTGTGGGCTACTGAGGATTAAATAGTATTTACTGAGGATAAATAAGGATTTACCCAGCAGCAATGCTTGCTGGAGCAGAGAGAAGCTTCTCTTCCTACTGCAGCTCATGAGGAATAGAAACATCACTTGTGATTTAAACACTTATGATTAACCCACATGGCAGCCTAAAATGAAAAAGGTGTATGAAGCTTGGGTGAGCAGTCAGCATTAAGTAAAACATGAGGTGCCTGTGCCAATATTCCTGCTTGACCAAAATATGTGTGTGTGCTCTGTAGCCAGGCAGACTCTAGCAGCTGCTAAGTCCTGTGGGGAAGAACTGTAGGGGCTGAACAGATGGAAATGGTGCGCTTCCCCAAACTTGGGATGTCTCCGAGTAGGCAATATTGGCATGGAAACCAGTCACACAAGATGCAGTTTCTGGTTGTGTGATACTGTTTCTCTTCCCCACTCCAGGCATGAGAGACTGACACCTTTTCAGAAGGAGGGTGTTGAATCTCACGTAGCAAATAGTGGGTTTTGAGTATATATTTAATTGCCATTTTGTGCTAAGATTTCTGGCATTTCTCAATGTTTAACCTATCACTGAATAATTAAAACTTTGTAACCTCAAAAAACACAGTTTATTTCTCAGACTGCTCTAGAAATGGGAATAATTCCTGTTTTGGACTGGTGTTTTAGTGATGAAACTCTGTGGAGTATTTCAAAGGCCTCTCTGAAAACCTTTATAAAAAAATCCCCAAATACCACTAATGTATTATTATCTTTCAGGCTATTTTACAGTAAAAATACTGTTAGATGGGTCAGATTAAATGTCAAATGTAACCTTGAAATTGAAGAATTCAGCAAAGGCAATGATTCACCAAATACACTTTCGTATGACTTTATAATGTTAATAACTAAGAAGGTAATGTCTATTACCTTGCTGTTAGATTCAGAACCAAACTTGTAGTTCAAGGAGCATCCTTTACAAAACAGAGTAATTTCTGACTTCAGCAGCAGACCATAACAAAACCAAGACATGAGTAGAAGTGTGCTGTGTATCTTCGATATTATTGCCACAGAAGCTTAGTACATGCTACTGTTAGTACAGCTCTCTGCTCCCATAAAAGGAGTTGCAAGTCAGTGTATTTTACCACTTTGCAAAAGCAGCATAATAGTGTTGCATAAAATAGAAAAGGTGAATAAAGATTTGGTCTTACCAGTGGGAGCAGACATCTCTTGAGGTTTACATGAAGGAGGAGGGTAGATCTTGGGACTTGCAACATTAAATTCAGTTAATCCAGAGTCTGGCAATGACGGGCTCTGTTGAAAATAGCTTTTGGGACTGGCTGTTTCTCCAGGCAGTGGAGATCCCTGGCCTGGACTATAGCCAGAGATTTCATTTTCACTGATGTTTTGATTGACCAGTAATTCAGGACTCATGCAGACTGTTTGCAACATCACCACTGTGTGTGTCAAAAATGATGAAAAAGAAGAGGGGAGGAAAAAAGCTTATTCAGTTGTCTAAAAAAGCCAAAGCAAAATCAGTCCAGTTTCGCATTGAGAACGTGGTAATTGCATTTAATTCTCCAGTGTAATGAGCAGCTATGAGCTGAGTTCAGCTTCCTTCTCTTTTTAGTAGCAAGTTACAGCAGTTGCAAAAAAAGCCAGCCTTGGAATCCCAGCAGTCACTGGAAACAGCTTTTGAGAGTTTCTTGGCTGCGATTCTCACTTGTGCTCTTTATACTCAGCTATGTCTTGAGGGATGTCAGCCTGAGAAGGCCCCACCCTCTTTCCTAACAATTAGCAGCAGCTGATGAAGAAATGACTTTTCCCAAGAAGAGATTGAGTACAAGCTGAAAAGTGGTTTTCCTTAGGTATGAAGCAGAAAAATTGAACTCTGGTTGATTTACTGAAAGTGGCTTTGAGTAGGGAAAAGCAGCTTCTGACTCAGAGTAGTTGACAGGGTTGTGCAAACAAGTAACCCATCCTGAAGTAAATGTTTTGTGAATTCTTTTCTCAGGAAAGAGCCAAGGCTGTGAACAAGGACCTATTGCTCGCAGCCTTCATGAAGCAAAAATAAATATGCATCCTTAAACATGAGATTTTAGCTAAAGAAGGACAGCCCTTACAATCAGCATAGCTTTGAGTCTGTGAAGAGAGAGAGGAGTGCTATGTGCTCCATTAAGGACAACATCGTTTGTTTGGGGGTTTGTTTTGTTTTAGCAAGGAAGGGTTCTTGAATACTGTGACAGGTGCAGCTACCAAAACTCAGCAGGATTAAGTAACCACCTATTTGGATGGATACTCTTCTTACAGGAAGTCTGTTTCCTTGTCACAAGGGGACTTCGGGACCATCGTTCTCATGTCCCTGGGAAATAGATTTCATTGTAGAATCTGACTTGTGGGCTATGACATTTTGACTCAATCAGCAGATATTTCTCTCGAGGACCTAGTCTGGAGAACAATTACAATGCTTATTAAATGCAGCAGCTTCCTTAGCTGTGTCTTGGAAAGCATTCCAGCTTTACTCCCAAGCAGAATCATCTTACTATACCAGTTTGAGCAGAAAGCAGCCAGACTTTCTGGAGCAAAATAAAAGATCAATATTACATGCATGTTTTAGTTTAAACCGGGTAATGACTCCTCCCTACAGACCTGCACAATCCTCCATCTTCTCTGTACTGAGAGTAGTAACTCCAGTCTCAGGGGTGTTGAAAGAATTATTTAGGTATTGATCAAAGCCAGATTTGATGCTTGTAGGTCAAGTGTAGAATCAGGAACCAGTCTACATGCAGTAGCAGTGCAAAGGCTATTACTTGGATCCCTGACCATAGATCTTACTATCTAGTAATGTTACTGTTTGGATCTGAAAAACATGAATGCGCAGGGGAGAGGCAAGGTTAACACATCCACATATGTGCATGGCTGCCTATGATTTCAACTAAAAAGGATGACACAGTTCTCTATTATTGCTGTGAAATCCACAGGGCTCTGTAGGTCCTGCTTGGGAACAAAGGATGTGTAGTGAGCCAGTATTGCAGTTTCTTCCTTAGTGGATTGTAAGAACCTCGCTTAAGGGATTTGTTACAGGATATTTCAGAAGTTACAAGGTTATTTACCTTTCTGACATTGAGACAGCCACAAAGAATGTCTATTTTTAACTAAGGACACATTCTGCTCTGGTAAATGTTTTCCTTTTGTTTCACCCACTTTGCCTTTTACATTGTATGAGTCTAGGACAATCTGGAGGTAGGATCTAGTTCCTTAGTGACATGAAACACTATTATTCTGTAAATGGTATTGCTCAAATCAGTAGCCTCAATTAAGGAACTACTCAACACTTGTATAGGTGGGAGAATTTGGCCTACTGCAAACAGGAAATTACTGTGGTGAATCATTGTATATATTGGGCAGTAAATCACACAGGAGATTTATCATCTTTCTATTCTTTTTCATACTCCAACCCATATGCTGAATAGTTCTTACTGATTGTTTACAGTATGCTATTACATTCACAGTGAAAGCAGGAATTAGCTTGGTTTTATGGTACAGAAAGGACCAAAATACATCCCTGTAGGTATGAGAAGAGAAGCAGGTTTCTAAAACTAGCAGCAAAAGCCTTGGAAAGTGACCACTACAAGAAACAGTCTCCAAGGTTTTGTATTTGTGTAACTGGGAATCTTGTGGTTCTCCTGCTTCCAACTTCAATAGGTACCCAATATTTTAAATGAATACTCTGTTACTCTAATTTCAATTAATGAGTTCTTATCAGCCTTATTTCATATATACCTATATACTTACAAATATTACTGGAGATGGATAAAGGTCTTCAGTGACAGTCTTCTGGGGAAAGGGATGAAGTCAAAACAGAGGCTTGGTCATAAACAGAGCTGCCTGAGCATTTAGAAGAGACTGGTTTGTACTTCCCACCTTCTGTTCATGCTTCCCTGTAGGAAAAAATTGCATGCCAGATCTTTGGGTTTGTTTTCTTTTTCTCTTTTAATTTATTTCCTTTTTAGGTATACTGGTTATTTACTGGTATACTGTGTTAGGTATTCTGATTACTGATGTAACATTTACAGCAAAAATGGCCACCGCCATCTGGAAGTTCCTAGTGGATAATTGTTACTAGAGCAATTCCTTTCTGACTGCTTAGTGATGGGCAGCTCTGCGAATCTCTCCATGTAAACTTTCAGGTTATGCTGCCAGCGGGTAGAACTCCTTTTATATCTTTGAATGTAGGATGAACGCTCTCTAGCTTCCTTCATCCCTTGTTGCTACATGTTTCTTTAGTGCACACACCCACTTTAACGGCATTTGTTGGGTTAGGTGTTTGTCTGTCTTTCCTTTTAGATGCTGCTGGTTTGCCAACTGTTAACTCTTCTAACTATGAAACCCTTTGTGGCAAAGGTTTCCTTTGTTAACATTTTATTTCACATATGTAGGGATCAGGAGACAGTGGGATTAATATGTACTATCGTACAAGCCAAACAAGGCTTTCTCCAGCACAAGCTTTCAATGTCTGATTAGAATACAAATAAAATATCAACCATATGCATGTAGTTCTTTTAAAAGGTGACCATTGCACTGTGTAAAAAGGTCTTGAACCAAATGGATGACTAGTAATTTAGAAGGCACTTACTGAATAATGAAGCTGCATAAGATACAGTACTAGTGCAGAATATGAATGGATTTTTCCTTCTTCTGAGCATCTCTCCTGGCAAGCAGTGCTCTGTTGCAGAGGTTCCATTTGCATGCCCTCAGTGGAAAGCTTAAATTATGCTGTGCTCTAGATGTGCATACTTCTAACTGCTGGCATCCGTGCTGCTGGTGAAATGGGGTTGTGACATTACATTTGAGTTTGTGACACACTGAGTTTGTCTCACATTTTCATAGCGGACAGGAATACCTAATTAGCTCTGCTGAGACAGGGCATTGGGTAACTGCACCTGGGATGTCTGCTGACAGTGGTGTGTATATGCTGCTTCAGAAAGAAACAAACTGTGACAGATGTCTGTGCTGAGCAAGTGAACCTGAGCAGCTCTTAGTCATTCCAATGACTCTGAAGTATGAGCTCTACTTACCTCTTGTTGCAGTAGCCGTGGAGCAAGACAGACTTAATTCTTCTTTCCCACTGCAGTCACTCAGATCTCCTTATTGTGTCTGGTAATGATGTCTTGTTTTCTTTTGGCTTTGAAATCTCTAGATTTATTAGCTGAAAGATGGTGTATAATCACTTAGTGGTGATTATTTTCTTTCAGTAGCCTTTCATGCTCAGCTTTACCTTTAGGTGACAGAAATTAGAACATGGGATGTGGACAAGGTCAGTTGTCATATGTTATGCCTTCAGAATGCATTCCGCCTTTCCTTAGGGATGCTATATGATGCCATCTCGTGTATGTTTTCCCTCGCAATGATCATCTTTCCTGAGAAGGCAGGGTATCAAAAAGATTCTTGTTTATTTGCTCTGTTCTGACAGTGCTTTGTACAGATAGCTGGGTTCCTCCACTGACTTCACACAGTATTCGAGGTCTGAAGGCATCAGAGCTTGTGAAATAATCTGAAGTCTGCAGAACGGTCCTCACTGTAGAAAATGAAGCTATGTAGTGAAGGCAGAAGAGGAAGAGTGGGTTGCAGCTGTAATGAGGTGCAATTGACAATATCATTGTCACTTTTTGCGTGATTGTTATTGTAAATTTCCAAGAATTACCTGCCACTGACTCATCTTTAATGATGCCCCATGGCTACTTCTAAAAGTTTTCCTTGGATTCAGAGCTCCCTGGCGATGACAGAGACGGCGTGCTCAGACTGCTTTTACCTACCTGCAGTACTTTTTATTCCACCGTGATGAAACTTCTCCTGTGTCAGACTGACGGTTTTACTCAGTCCCCCACAGATAGCAACTAAGAAATTCTCCAGACTGTCTGCACCTTTTCAGATGGTGACAAGTAAAGGCAGTCCTCCTTGTGACATTCATTCCTAATGCTGTTGTATGTAGTAATCAGAGTCCGTTAACTATCAATGGCATTCAGTTATCGTCTAAATTGTCTGGTCAGGTTTTGAGGAATTATAGGTTATCAAGGGGGAAGAGGCTATTTTGATCTGCCCATTTTCAATGCTTTAGGGCATCTGCAGGTGCGATTTGGTTTCTTCTCAGTACAGCTCTGAGAAATATCAGTCTTAAACATATGTAATAGTATGCTTGGATTTTGGTGTATTTTTGGAAAACATAGTTAAGGAGATGAACTAATTCTGAGCTACCATGAAGTGGTTTGCTGGTGTTCCTAATCTTATCTGTGCTATTAACCTGAAACTGGCACATCTGGTCCATTCTGTGAAGCAACAGTGACCTCCCATGGGCACAGATGAGCTGTCAGTGCTGTGTGTTTCTGTTTCATTGACTTGACAAATCCATTATGGAATTGATTATCTAATCCCAAATAATAAGCAAAATTTCTCAGCTTTCCAAATAACTACTCAGGTATTAACCTTGTTTAATTTGGCATAGATTTTCACCTATACCTGTCACAAATACTAAACGAGGTTGAAGGCAGAAGTTTACATTTAGGGGCCTAACCTGCATACAAAGACAAAAGGAGAAAAAATCCTGTTATTGGGAGAATTGTGGTGGGTTATTCTTTGGGTGCTTCTCACTTTGTTTTTTCAGAAAGAAAGGTTTTTGTTCAGACAGACCTTGGGAAGATGTTGCAAGAAGAAATTTCCTGATGTTTCCTCTGTAGTAACAGAGTACCAGTGTTAAGTGATTTCTAAGTATGGCTCAGCACTTTGTTGTCAAATGCTGAAAATCTATGGTATTTAATTTTTCATCATCCTTTTAATTTGCGACAATTCAAAACCAAAACCGAGCCAAGAAAAATCGAGAGAGCAACAGAAAATGTTGTTCCTGGTATCCCAAGTTCTGTCGCTGGATGGTGCTGTGAATCAGATCGCGGGAAGCCCTCGCTAGCAAACAAATCACATCAGCTGCAAAAAGAGAGCAGCGTAAAGGGGAATATATAGAGAAATCTCCTGTTGAGATGAATCCGATTTACCGGTACTTCCCTGTGCTCCCCAGTGTTGGTTTAAAATGCCCATCAGTGAGGAATGTGGCAGAAATGCCATTATTATTACTTTTCTCTCCCTGCAAAATTGGTGACTTAAACTATGTCAGATCAGCCCACGTGGAAGCTCAGGTGAAATTAATTTCATAGGACTCAGAGAAGGTAGCATTTAAATGTGGGTATTGTAGGACGCAAGACACTGCATGGCACAGGTTGTGTTATGTGACCTATGGCTTGATTCATGTGCTTAGATATCTTGTTATTTTATACGAGTTGCATATCCCACAGCCCCTTGAAGAGTGCACTTCTTCTGTGAGTGCTGGGTCACACCTGCCAGCTCCCCACAGATGTCTTGGGTACCCCAAAGCATTTCAGCAAGCAGAAGATGCACATAAGGCAGTTGACTCTCCCTCTGAATGTCTTTATAATGCCTTGCTATAAATGTCATAGCTACTCCTCCTTTCTTCTACTATCTGTATGTTTCTGAATCTCAAGATTGAACTGTTCTGCTGCCTGCTATTCGTGTCTTTGAAAATGTCTCTTTTTGTCTCTCTGAATCTTATTGGAATTTTAAGAGAGCTGTGAATTTAACTTAGACATCTGTACTAGAACAAAGCTCTGGTAAAAGAGAGGTCTTTTACTGGCTCTGCAGAGAATCGAGTCAATGTAAGGATGCAAAGTCAGGGTTAATATTTTGTGTCCGTGAGCTAGAGCCACAAACACGTATTCTTTTTCAGACTGGGCACTTGAGCAGTCTTCTCTATTTACAGTCTTTTCTTTCTTCTTCTTTTTTTTTTTTTTAAGGATCATTTATCTGCTTAGTTACTGAAATACAATGGCGTGGCTGGCAGCCAGTTAAAATACCTCGTTTCTCCAACTCTTTCACAATATTGTCTCATTCCTGCCCCTGACAGACACAAGTGCATGGGATCTGCTGGTCTTCTGTTGGGAGACTGTTGCTACTCAAAGAGTTTTGCTTGCTTGCATTGAGAAGTGAGTTATTCCATATGAACAAAGGTGGGGAAGTTGAGGCTCAAACCCTTACATTTTCAGATTATTTTCCTACAGGTCCTTTGTCTGCAAATCCTTTCTCTTCATCCTTGTCCTATCTTGACTGAGATGGCTATAACATGCTTAATAATCAGGTTTCTTTTTCTGCTTTATCTCAGACTTGATGGTGATCTAGTAGAGAATGTCATGTAAGAATACAAGATTGCTTTCTGCCATGTTTTATCTTATAGTTGTCTTAGGTCTGCCTTTTCTGGCATGGACTCAGTAAAGCACTTAAGTCAGGAAGGTAAGTGCTAGCTTGACATTGACCATAAACATGTGCTCCTTGAATTGGGGCCCTTGCACTTTGTGGTAGTTATATATTCCATGAAGTTCCTTGGTGTACCAGTTTTGTCATCAAGCTAGGCATGTATACAAAGGTATTGAGTTTGCACTTTAAAGACATGTGATGATGCCTGAATAACTGGGTACGTCTGGCTGGGCTTGACACAGGCTCAGTTATGGCAAACACAAAGAAAAGTCTGGTGATTCTCCACTGGGTTGCTTACAGGGCAGCAACCCGTGAGGGGAGAAAACACTAAGATGCAAATTGTGTAGGTAGCTATGATAGTTCAATACATATAACTCACTGCACCAATCAAAACTATATGAATTCTATGTGTGAAAGGGTGACATAAGGGACATTTAATCCCACAGATGCCTCCTCATCTCCTATACTCTGCTTCCCCTGGTATGTTTTTTGGAATCTAAGCCTTCTGTCTGGGTGTCTGATTGTCTATGGGATATCAGAAGATTGTGTTCAAATGAATCTCTGTATAAAGAGCAAGGGCTGTTTCATGTCCTGCTGGTATTCCCTATAGGGCAGCCTATTAGTCATGCAGCAAGCCAGAGCAGCTGAATGAACCAAGAATTAAGGTGGACCAAATTGCAAATGCTCTCCTATTAGCTGCAGTTCGCTACATAAAAATTTGCTTATTTAGAGTTAATAATTAAAGTTAATTCATAAGTGGGGATAAGAAAATAAAGGTCCTAAATCCATTTTTCCCTTCTGGACAAATACATTGAAAGTCACAAACAACAATGGTTTGTAATCTGGGGTCAAATTTCAGAGGCTTTTCCCTATACACTGAGATTATATTTCACTCCCAGTGGCCTTCATCCAGATTCTTTCAACACTAGGGAAATGACTCCTACTGAGTTCAGCTAACACAGTCCTACCATGGCTAAATAAGAGAGAAATGTTTTTGTGCAGACCTAAAAATACTACTTGCTTTGTGTCTGATTGGGCACGATTCTGCCTAGACTATGTAACAAGAGCCACTGACTGTGGCAATTTCCACTGTAGGTGGGTCAGTGTGGGAAAGAAGGGGCAAGTGCCCCTTAGCTTGCTCTCACAGAGATGGGTAGGGTCAGGATGTTACTTTGCTCTTTGGCAGTTATTGGAAATGTGAATGCTGGATCTTTCCTGATTAGCTTAGAAACGTAAAGCTCCTTGAGATTTCCTCTCACTCACAGAATTTATGCTGTTTGTATCTGAAAATGCATCACACTTTTCTGGGACATGCCTATCTGAAGCAAGCATATAATACCTGGTCTTTACAGCCAACAGTGGGGAAGATCAGAGATGCTGGAGCTATTGCTATTACTTGTAGTATTATTTCAGCTCCTTTGCTGAAACAGGAGTAAAAATACTGTTATCCCTTATCCCCAACCTAAAGCTGTCACTTTGCAAATGGGGAAATAATGTTATATTTTAATAAAATAAAACAAACCAACAAACATTTCCTGTAGAAAATGAAGGCAGGAATTCCCTAAGATTCTGGCTGGCCTGAGAGGACACAACAAACAAACACCTTCTTACAGTGAGTAGTTGAGTTCATGCTATCGAAGTTAACACTTAATTGTGAAATTTGATCCAGGCATTGCTACACTAATCTCTGGATAATAACACAATGAATAAAAGCAGAACCCTGAAAAACAGCTCTGTAAAATTCCCGAGGTTACTGAACTACTTTATTTGTTCAGTGTTGTGTATAGTATTGCTTTTTGGTTTTCTTTAATAATTGTGACATCTGGTATTTATCTAAAAATGAGGAAGTCCACCCTATTTATCAACAAGGCTAAGAATTGTATTCAGCAGCATTCAGTTCCTTTGTAGTGGAATAAACTAGGTGTTTTATGTATGCACAGCTCTCTCGTGACGTAGCTTTAATAACCAAGCCTTTATGTTCTTTTAAGCTTAGGCACAAAGTTTCAGGAGAAATATCACAATAGAACTGGGATGTATGAGGCATCTCACAGGGGCCAAAGACTGGTGAGGTATATAGAATGATAAAGTCTCACTACAGAACTTTAAGAGAATGCTTGCTGACCTTTATGGGGCCTATTCCTGTTACAGCTGAGCATGTGCTTAAACAGTCTCCTGAACTGAGACTTAAGCAGTAACACAGTTCTGGGTGTACTTAAAGTGTATTAATTAGCTACAGCACTTGGTGGAGGGGAGAAAATGTACTAAGCATTCAATGATTGCTTCCTCCTTATGTTTCAGAATTGCATTCCCTTTTCATTGAAGTCAAGGAAAGCCTTGAGGTAGATACAAATGGTGACAGTAACCACAGCCTAAGTAAAACACAGTGTTTGCATGCAGCTTGTAAAGCATTTGGTAGTTCTGTTTCAAAGGCGGATGTGTTGCTCAAAGCAGTTGTAGAACTTTGAACTGTTGAATTGTCACAGCAACTATTGCATGGTACACAGCGACAGCTTGAAAACATCTGTCTGCAGTTGTTAAACAGGCAGAAATGTGGAGTGATTGTCCAGAGCTTTTCTGTTACAATGCAGGACAGCCAAATACAGCAACTCTGTGCTTATTTCTCCAGGCACCTCTGTTCAGACTTTCTTCCCAGAAAATTAAAACCTTTCTGTTGCGGATATGAGCTCCTAGAGAAGCTCTCCATTTCACACCATCTTTTGCCATCGGCAGTTGCTTGTGTACAATAAGCTTTGTCAAGCATGCCACGTGCTGCAGAAAAATCACGTCTCTCATAACCCTCCAGTACTAGTCCAGAGTAAATCTTCATTCTGTACAGCTCATGTCTCCTGGAAATCCATCTAAGAAGACAAATTAGAAAAATGCTACTCTTGAGTGGTTATATTTTATGGCAATATATTTATTTGTGATAGGAGCAATTTACTTAGGATTGTTCTTGCTATAGTCCATATCATTTGCTTGAGCCATGAATAAATAAATGATTGTGATGCCAGCTTTTGAGGATCTCTCTGACCAAACCAGTCTAACCTGGCACTTGTTTGGGTTGGTTTCTTGCCACATGTAATTTTTTTCTCTTTAGCAGTAAGTTCCCATGAAAGTGCCAGTATATTCCCCCTTGTTGAGAGTTAATATTTCATTAGCATAAATCATTTCATATCTTGTGGAGTCTGACCTAATTTCTCTGAGTACAAACCTGCATCAACTCCTTCTTTGTCGTTTGTATTCCTGTGTAAATTCCAGTACCACTGCTTTATGCTATATAGCTACTGCCTCTACAATTTCTGCTCTTCAGACTCAGAGCTCCTACCTCTGTCAGCAAGTCCTCCTTTCACCTAAGGATTACACAGACACAGAAGAAATGGAAGCACCAAACTCCATAGTGTGATACCTATGATTTTTTCATGGCATACTGGTGCTCCCTTGGAGAAGAGGAACCAGGCGATGGAAATGCCCACAAGAAAAATTTTACTCTCATCAAGAGAGCATATGTGTCTCACTTCAGACCACAGTCTTAGTTGTTTTAAATGAGGGAAGTTCCACTGGTTCTAGCAAGGCTTTGCTTAACTGAGCCAATGCGCACAGCAGAAGTGCTGTATTCCTACAGTAAACTGCATCACGTTCCAAAAATCCATACTTATCAAGAAACAGAGGTGAAAGATGATGCAACTTTATAGGACATGTAACTGACTGAGAGTACGTTTGTGTAGGGAAATGAGAAAATGCAAAAATACAGGTGTTGCTTGGAATTTGCTCCTCTTTATCCAGGGTTAAGAGGCTAATGGAAGCACAACTAACACAAGGAGATCCTGCTTAAAAAAAAAAGAAAAAAGAATAAAATAAAAGAAGAATTAAATATTTACCTACTAAAAGAAATGCCAATTGACAGATTAAATATGCAAGTTCTTTGTTATCATTCCAATAATTCCAGAACAAAAAGTTGGAGCTAAAGGAGGAGCAAATACCTGGTACAAGCCTTACACCTGTGCAAAGCAAGAAGAGACTTGCCACCTGCAGTTCTCTTCAGAATAATGACCCCTAGAAAGTCTGCAACTCTTTCTCAGTCCTTCTGTACCCTTTCCTATCTTTGGTGCATTTTTTTATCCTCTTGCCACTTGTATATAATGAAGGAATTCCTGAGAAGAACTGAGCTATCTAATCTGTAAATTCCCACATGGAAGTAAACCAAGACAATGTAACTAAATTGTTTTTGGGGGACCTAGACAGATTCACACTCCTGATGGAGTGGTCACTGATGTAAGTGGTGTGTGAACAGACATTTCTGATATATTTGTTGTTAGCTTTAGTGTGAGCCAGGAGCTATGGGTCCAGCTTTATGTGGGATATATGCCTAAGAACCATGAAAGTTCAAGTTTCTTCAGTATTGAATGTGCTTGAGCTTCAGTGGGTAATGGATGCTCTAAACTTTGCACTGAGTGAAACTTTCTGGAAGAAATCCTGTTGTTTCAGCCCTTCTCAGGCTATTGCTTTCGTCTCTGGATAACTCATGTCCTATTCTCTAGCCACTGAAAAGGACAGAACCTAGTATTCAGTGAAAAGAGGCTGGAGATGGCCCCATGTGTTTGGGAGGCTTTTTTCTGTTGTGATTACATCTACATCCCCTGTGTGTGATGTGGTATGTAGTAATACTGGAAGCTCCATACTTTCTGTCTCTTCCCACGTGATAATTAGCACCAACAGTCACAATCAGATCATGGTGACCTAGTACTCTTGGCTGAGCAGTATCACCTTGATTTGGTGGCAGCTTTTCATGACTCTGCAAGTTCAATGCATTCATATAAATAGTCTTTTTAAGGGGCTATATGGATGTATGTTTTAATTTGCATTTCCACTTAATAAAGAGCAGGGAAATTACTAGTTAGCAGAAGTTGGTGGGTGAATTGCTATTCCATTCGTAAGTGTCCAAACCTACCCTGATTTTAAGAGCAGTGTTTCCATTGGTTTTATAGGGTACTGTGCAGGGATGGGAGGTACCCTTTGAAGAGTACCAATACAATACATGGACAAGGACTCAACAAGCTGTTTCAAGCTTCTGCAAGGCCCAAAGGCTTAGCTTGCAAGTAGCTCACGGTGTAGTACATGTATAAATATTTTAATGTTCAGAAAACACTTGATTTTCTTGAATTATTGGAAAGCTTGAAAATCAGTCCATGCAGTGGAAATAAATTCTCGAGTCTCAGACTCAGTCCCTTAAAACAAACATTTAAAAAATCTTTTTAAAGCACCAAAAAGGGATTCTCCCTCAATTTTTCTGCCCCCCCTGAATCCTTCTTATACAAGCAGTATTATGTAAACAGACTGCAGGTGCCCTAGTAACCCAGTAAACCACAACAGCCAGAGACACGTGCTGGAAAAATATACAGGGAATATGCAGCGTGCACATCAGATGGCACCGGGAGCTTTTACAGTCAGAATAAGAGAGCTTACAGCGCTATTAGCTAGACATTTGATGCATCAATATGAAAGGGAAAACTTTTGTGCTCAGCAGATTAGGCTGAGCTGAGAAAGACTTCTTCTGAGAAATCTTTTGAATTCACAATTGTTCCTTAATATTGTGCATGCAAATTAGTGGCTTCTCCTTTAGTGAAGTTTCACTGGAAATCGGGTGTCAAAGATGTTCTTTCCTACCTAGCCTCACTTTTTTGAGGCTGGGTCTTGCTGCTGAAGTGAGTATATGGGAGAAGACAGCTGCTGAGACTTCTCTTGCTGGGCGCCTTCATATCTAGCCATGAGATCTTGCTGCAACTGAGGTTATTATATGCTGTTGCAAATAAACCAACAGCTTATTTTTCTTGACTACTTGTAGGTAAAGATGATTTCAGTTTGCATGGCTCATGCCCTCTCTGCTGAGGGTGCAAATCGAGGGCAGATGAATGCTAGTGTGCATGGCAGGCTTTCAGAGGCGGATGTTTTTATGCTGGTGTTATTGAGGCACTGGAGTAATACTACACCTCTCAGTAATAGTGAGCTTCATCCAATCCTTCATTGCACTCTGTGGCTTTCTGTACATACTACTTTCCCTCAGGACAAATTGTTTTTGTTACAGCAAGCTGAATGGCAGCTGATATAATCAGTAATACCCGGAGCGATAATTCTGCAAGGCTGTAACTTGCATTGGCTGCTGTGTTTGTTCTTCCCAGGGAGTGAAGTATTTAACAAAGAAATGGACAATGCTGTAAATATGTTGCTCAATAGGATAACTTCTGTGTGCATTTTGAAGACAGAAAACCGAATGTATCTGATACCATCAAACTGCTTGATTCCAAAACCTGCTGCTCCTTAAAATGTCAGCTCTCTAACCTTCATACAAGTTTTGTTAACCTGTGCATTCCTGGTGATGCTGCTAGGACCAACTGTGCTTTAGGAAAATGGGGGAGAAACCCACTAGAGGAGGAACGATGTCTGTGTGATATTTTACATGCTGCTGAAAGCTCTTCCTGTTTGTTCTCAGGAAGGGCTGTGTATGTGCAGGACTTAAACTAATCCACCCTGCTAAGAGCTTATGCTTGGTGCAAGGCCAGTTGAGTTGCTATATCTTTGGCTGGCACAGGACCTAGGAAGGCTTGTTTCTGTGTACTTGTGAAGACCCACCTAGCTGTGATCAGGGGAGTGGGTTTGTCTAGTGTCAGATTCATGGCTCTGATATCAGCATGATGTGAACTTGAAGAAAGGTCTTTGGTGCCCGTGGTTGAATTTCATATACCTTAAATTCAGTATCAATAAACTAGACACGGAAGTTGCATCTGGTCATCGAAGTTCCATTTACAGTCAAGAAAGAAACAGGCATCCTGGGGGAATTCATCTTAACTCAGATAGGGTTGCATGAATTAGCTGTTGGAAGTTGTGTTTCTCTGGACTAGAGATGGGGTATGTAAGCACTTAACTGAATTTCTCTTCACAATTAGTGCAACGGGTGTGTTAATACTTCTCATCTTAAGGGTTTTTTTGCTGTTTGTGAGCAACTGAAGGCACTCATATTTTTTTCCACGATCTATGCCCAGGAAAGTATAGTTTGAGGCACCTGGCCTGTGCTACAAGAGAAACAATAGCATGTTCTTAACACTTTCGGAAAGATCCTGATACCTCAGACCTGGCAAGGAAGTGCCTTAAGAGGCATTTTACTTGCTGTTACTGTTTCACCATCTTCTCTGAGAAAGTTGCCAATTTGCTCTTGAAAGATTGAGCAAATCTTACTTTCCTTGCAGGACAAGGGGTTGTTTTCAGCATGAGTCAACAGCAATAGGCTACACTCCATTAGGCCATTTATGCCTTGAGCCAAATCCAAGCAGTCAGAAAAATGTAATGGTCCCCATAAAACATGTTGTGTCTTGCCTTATTGTGCTTCTACTGCAAACTTCCTAGCTGCTAAGTGCCATCTTTAAAGGAGGAATGGAAAAGGAGCAATCAAGAAATTCTGGCCACTGGGTTTCATGCCTTGTGCAGGAGACAGACCCAGCATGTTAATGTGAAATCAGCATTTGGGTGTGACTGGATTTATCTTTGCCAAGTCTTAAGGACATCCAGGTTGAGGGACATAGGTAGTGTGTTAACCTCAAGTATGGGTGAAGAGGGAATACAGTTGTGACCTGGCCCTTCTTCTGTCTGCTCAGGCTCTTCTCAGCCTCTTCTCTTCCCCATCTCACCTATTTTCTGTTGTCAACAGCTGGGTTTATTTTGGCTTTTAATGCCTGAAGATACCTGGAATACTTTGCATGCTTTGCTGCATAGTTTGTGCTTTAGTAATTCCAGAAGCAGATGTCCCCCAGTGGAGATCTTTGAGCCACAGTAGAGACAGGTCCTGGAAATCATGGAGCACGCCACAAGCCTTGTTAGCCTGTGTTAATTTCCAGCAAGATTCTCACCTGGTAAGGTGCTGAGTGTTGCTGCAAAAGCTATAAAATAGATAGTTTTGTGTGGCCTTGGAACCAGCGTTAATATTATTGAAGATTTTGTTCACTATTTTCCCACTGAACA